ATTCCCTGACTTTTTCCAGTTTTCCAGGTAGCGTGGCAACCCTGTTTTAACTTACATCAAACTTACACTTAAAGTTATGAAATAATATATAACTGTAATTTTATGACTTTGTGTTTACTTTAAAACATTAAATCACGTTAAATTGTCATTAGCAAATTAATCACTTTTACCACCCTCACAAAGACATCATTGTAAATTTCTTATATTATCCAGGAAGAAACATGTTTTTCTAGAAGGATCTTTACACTGCTTCTTTATAAACAATGGTATAAACATTCTTATTAACGCAGCTTAAAATTATGCTGTCTACTTAAACTTATCCACACCAGACATATATACAGTAAACATTTTCTTTATTTGAATTTTCTCGCTGGTCAAGAATATGTCCTGCAGGCATGTAACTTTAAGCAATAACAGTTAATCAGAATAAAATAACAATGAATGCTGAAATCACCAAAATAACACCGGAATTGGTCTAGGTCATATGATATCTTCCTGTCCCCCCTACCACTTTCATAAATTTCATAAGGGTCTACCAAGAAACTCTTCTTTCTTACAGCACTTTAATCCTGTGAAATTAAATCTTGCACAGTGCATCAATATGACTGTCCAAGCAAGAAGACATATGCTGGAAACTGTTACTTTGAAAGCAAATTCTTCTTCCTAGAGACTTGCAAAGATTTCAAAGTATTTACATTAGCAATATATGAGTTAAAATTAAATATATGTAGTCAAAGAAAATAAAAATATAGAGAGAAATCCCAAAGAAAAATTTTTCACTTTTTGACATTACTGATTGGTTCCAAAATTGATGCTATTGAAGAGTTTATACAAATCAAAGACGTTCTCAAACTTTTGACAAACGCGTATCATCTAAACAAAAATTTAAAAACTTTAGTACCACCATTACATTTTTCAATTTCTCAGTAGAAATATATATATATATATATATATATTGCCATTTGCACAACCTATTGGCTATTTGTATTATATATGCAGACATAAAAAATATTAATTATAATTGGTTACCATTTTAATTATCAAAATTTAAGTTATAATACTTAAAATAAATAAATTCTAAAATTTAGTGTGAAATTTGGGTGTGTTTAAGAAAGATCAAATTTTTTATATCTGGTCTTATTTCACTTAGTTATAACTGTAAATTAGAATCCACTTTTAATTTTGTTTTGCATTTATTTTATAAATGTAACATGAAAGAAAATCCTTGTTCACCCAAATAAGTTGTGCAAAAAGGCAATATAAATTTAATATATTTATTTGAAATGCCTTTATTACACCCCTCCCGGGTTCAGCCAAAGTTTCTTTTGAAATCACCAAAATAAAACCGGAATTTCTCTAAATCATGTATCTGCATTTGGAGCAAAATGAGAAAAGCTCAACTTTGTTCAGTTAACAGAACATTTATATAGCTGCACAAATTTCTGAAACTCAAAATGAAATATCAGACAGTACAGTACAGCACAACATTTTCATTCATTTTTAAGTACAGAAAGCTGCAAAGACATGGACAAACCATGTGCAAAAAGGGGACAGTTAGAGCTTGATCACAGGAAATTTCTGTCAATTGTTTTCTTACTTTATGAGATAAAATTTCAGGTACATTTGAACAAAATGGATTTCTAATTCAATTTTATTTTTCATAATCTTCAGGAAAATACATATTGAAATTATTTAAATACTTGTATTATTATGCAATTTTCAAGGTTTTTTATCGTTCCATTTATTTTATCTCTAAAAGTAAACAAATTAATAATTTGTTCTTGAAATCCTAAATTTAACTCATTTCACTACTCAAAAATATCAGCTAAACATGCTAAATGCACCAACCATAATTCACTAAATAAATATATTAGCAATTCAAACTTTAAATCACAGAGAAAAATCTGAATTTCTGATTGAAGCTGAAAAAGACAATTTAAAATTTTGCCTCTGGATAACCACCTTACTTCGGGAATGTAATAAAAGCATTTCATGTTCACCGCCTGCCTCTTGGCATAAAATCATTATTATTCTTGAATTTAAAGCTTGGCTTTTAATAATTTTTTGCTGGTTACTAAAGCTTTCACTAATGAAAGATGAATGGAGCAATGAGTAAATTTAGTTTCAGGTGCGACAGGTGCGACTTTATTTCAGAAATCACTCCAGAATGTTTTCCTGTTAAAGCCCAAGCTCTGTCAGTGCATGCAGTAATGCACTTACTCCAAGGAATATCATTCTCAGACATAAAACCGTTAATTGCTTTAAAAATTTCATTTGCAGTTGCTCAATCATGAAGCAATTCACAAAATAAATACTCTTTGGCAATTTGTTTACCTTCTTCGAAATGCATGTAAACTAATAACTGATCAAAGTACTTTCATCCAATTATGATGCGGAATACTAGCTATGTTTTATTTTTTGAATAAATGTCTCTTTTATGGAATTAGGTATTTCATGAATTCGTCAACTTACTATATCATTTGATAATGGAATATTATTAAGTTCATTAGCAGCTTTTCCATTGAATAATATTAAAACAATACGTTTAGGTGCTAGAAATATAAGGTTCTCTCCAATAATGTGAGCCTGATCAGTCTTGGCATTTCTTAAGCTTATTAGGTAACTAGCTAAGCTTTTTTACTTGAAGTAACAAACTTTTTCATTACCTGTTTACTATTTTTTTAACTACAATAATTTCCTCTTAATACATTCTTCAGATTCAAGATGTCTTTTAAGAAACGATGGTTTTGCACTTTGATTGGATAATACTTCAGTGCAAACAACACACTGAGGTTGAGGGTTCATTTCACCTCTATTCCAAGTAAACTCAAATGATAAATAACTTTCGCTGTATTTTCTATAAGAAATCTTTCTTTTCTTTGCAGTATTCTCAGTTCCAGTAAATTGCACTGGATCCATCACCTATGAATCATCACTTTTCCATTTTGAAAATCTACTTTTGTTTTATTATTTTTCACAAATATTTTTAAATGCACAATATATTACGAGTTCTTAAATACAAATGACGATATTCTCAAATTGCGTTGATAAGTAAGGAATACAAAACAACAGCCCCGTTCACATGCAACACTCTTTCGCACAGCTACAGTTTGTATTGGGGAGAAACGAGGATATGAAGCAGTTTCGCCTTCAGGACCAGTTCAGATGCACATCGTCTTCCATCCCTTAAACCATAAGCCACTGTGAGCGATGAATGGTGTCACAAACGCGAATCAGATTGGCAGATTCTAATGTTTACTTACATCTGTCAGTGCATGCAGTTCTATAGCAATAGTAACATTATTTACTATTGCTATAGAACACCATCGGAGTTTGATCCTTTAATTAATTAAAATACACCGAAATTAATTTAAAATGCAATTTATGTACGAGACCAAATGATTAAAAGAAGAAAAGAAACCACATATGGTGCTGAGCGGTTTTAAATAAAATGTTTTGTGGCTGTTAAAATTTCAAACTTTGCTTTTTGAAAAAATGAACAAAACGACAAATTAATAGCATTAATATTATAATTAATTCAAATTGTTTTGACATGCTTTACCAAGATTTTAAATAAAAACTTGTAATTTATGTTTATATTAACTAATTAAATAGCACTAGGTTTTATTTTACATATATATGTAATGAAATTCAGTAATAAATTTTTTAAGAAATTTGAAATGATTTAATTACCATATAGAAAGCTTATATTCTTTAAACTGCATTTTCACAGTTTTTAACACAGTTTAAGGTCTTAAAACTTATATAGATATGGTCTAAATTATTTAATATTTTTACCGCTTAATTAAAATTATATATTTTAGAGAAACAAGAATGGTTTTTGCAAAATACTGAAAAGAAAAATTATTTGAAGTGGAAATGATTTGAATTGAGATCATATTTGTTTCAATGATTTTGCATAAAAATGTGTTTTTATTTTTTTTCTCAGAAACTAATTCATTAATTTCAAAATCAATCCCTAAAGTTATTAAGAACTTTCTAATAAATACAATAAGAAAATATGGGAGAAATCATTGAAAATTGTAACAGAAGAATGACATTTTAATTGTTAAACTTTTCTTCCCAAAATTTTAATTTTAAAAAAATTACTGGCATTTTTTTTTTTCCCAGCTTAAAATTAGTTTGTCTCACTAAACAATTTAATAACATTCATAAAAGTAGATGAAAGTTCTTAAATAAAAAAATCATTCAAAAGGCACAGAGTCCCCTTGTTGAGTTGAAGTCGACATGCGCATCTTTAGTTAAATTTCCGTATTTCATACGGTTCTATATAATTTTTTTGGATGATATCGCATCCCCAGATATCAACCAACGTGATTGTTTCGCTGACAATACCGCGAGCTGTCAGTTGCCAGCCAGCCATGTTGTTTGTTAAAATTAAGTAAATCGTGCAGTGCAGTATGAGAAATGTCCCCATTTGCCCTGCTCTTAAGAAGCAGGAATGTTCTACCTCCAATTCGGAGAAGCAGTTAATGCTTGTCGCCGTGGGAATGGGACACGTTGGAAGAAACAGTTTTTGCTACCGGTCGAATCTGCTCTTGTGAACGGGCTAACAAGAAGACAAAATACCTGCTGACAGCAAATTGATGCAAAAAATGATTCTATTTGAAAATAAAGCAATATGAGCCCAGAAATGGTGGCGCATAAAGTGTAGACATGCTAATAAATCGATCAACTCCAAGAGCATTAACGAGATATTATTATCTTTTTAAAGGAACTTATTTTCATTTCCTATTAAATAAAAAACCATTTCTATTACTTCTTTTAAAAACAGCATTTACGACAAATTTTGTTATGTCTATTGCTGAAAGGATATTTGTGAAAACAAAAACGGATTATTATGCTTAAGTTTTTGTGCAGAATCTTTGTTAAAGGTTATATATTTTCCCTGCTACATAAAGATCAGTCTCGCAGTAGTAGATATGTTATGTTTTCTGTTAAGTGGTATGTTACTATTTTACACTAAACAAAATACTTACACAAGGGGTTTTGTGACACTGCAATCATGACCAGCAAATTGATCTTCATCATCAAACCCTTTGTCACAGCCAGCACATATAAGCTGAATCAATTCACCTTCACTGTGTGATTTATTATCAGCAGGCTTATCAATCTCTTTGGATGCTATAATACAAGAAAGGAATGCATGGAGAAAATTTACATTTCAGTATGCATAAAAAGTTATCAGACAATAACATAGTAATAAAGAACATGTATATACTGATAACAGCATAAATTTTTCAAAATTTACCAGCAGCATCAGCCTCATGAGTTCTCATATGAGCTTCTAATAACTTTTGCTTTATAAATCCTAAAAGGGAAAAATTAAATATTATTTTTTTTAAAGGGCGTTTTTATGCTACAAATATTTCACTGCAAAGAAACTTTCAAAACAAATTTTCTGATGAGGATTAGTTTAGAAATTTTTTATTTAATACACACACACATTCAAAAAACATCAATAAGCATAAAATATATTCATTATTTGCTCTTGGTCTACTTGTTCTTAAGCTAGAAAAGCATAGGCCAGAAAAATAAGATTTTCAGGGCATTCACAAACTCATTTTTATTTAGTGCTTTCGAAATTGTAAAGTTTCATTATTATTCTAAAATTAGAAATCTTTCAGGCATCCTCCATTTTACAAAGCACAGTGTTACTGTGAAATTTTTTAAAAGCCAAAGGTGTGAAGCAACTATGTTTACTTTAGATAAATTTTAAAAAACTTCGCTTTTTTATGCTAATACTTTCTTGTTAATTCTCTAGACAGACATAATTTCTTGTTCAGTTACATTGTTGAAGTCGTGTAACTGCTGTGTCGAGAATCTGGATTAACTTGTCGTTTTCAGTAAATTTTCACACTTTCTTTACTATCGGTAACAGTATTTTCTTGATCTAGAACCATACTACAAACTTTGCCATCCTAAATTGATTGATAATTGAGAAGCATTGTCATCATAATTAAAATCTCCTGTATGATCTTCATTTATTACCACTTCTCCACATTTCTTTACAAAATCCTTTAATTGGAAAATTTCACCATTGGTTTGCCATATCCGAAAACCTTTAAAATTCGCAACTATCATCATGAGATTGGCGATTAAAGGCAACTTGTTCCGCTAAATTTTATCTTGCTTCTGTTGTGCTCTAAGACAATTAAGTCTCAATTGTATTGGTTTAGTTATTTATTATACTTATGTCTATTTCTTGAACATGCTTAGGCTTATCTGAGTCCTCATACAAGCCCTGGCGCTGGATCTGGGTTCATGTGAATAACAAATCAGTTATTCTTAATTCAAATAGCACTAAATGTAATCTTTTGACCTATGAGTATCATTAAGAAAATCTATTTTTAGCATAATGGTAATACATTTTTGTTAAATTTTTCCTTGTCAACATTTCTTGGAGCATTTAACTTAAATCTTTAATCATCGCCAAGTGCAATGTCAATATAAAAGGTTACCATACTCTTTATTTTTCAATTACTAACACACACACACACACACAAAAAAAAAAAAAAAAATTATGTTTAGGCATGGCTACATGACTCATTACTCAATTTATCATGTGCTGATAAACATGCAGTGATGAAAACAAAATATAATAAATAATGATTTGCCAGGTCAGCGTCAGAAATAGAAAATATTAGTAGGTGTAAAATCAATGATGTATCCATGTAGAATATTTTGGTTTGACATGTAAACCAAGCAGATTCGAACTGGAGCCAAATTCTCGATCATGCAAAATTTGCACTAAAATGATTGTTTTTTCAATAACAAGGTAATTTATTTAGTGTCTTAGGGAAATTACAAATCCGGACTCTCCATGTGTTTTATTATGTGTGGGGGCAGTGAATCAAATGGGGATTGGAGGAATTTGTTAAGCATCCCCCCTCCAATAAAAATAAAATTGTTGGTGGCTTTGAGGTCCGGATTTTAGATCATTCAGGATACTGGACGTCCGGATCTCAGACTTTGTACTGTAATACTAAAGGAAAGAATGATGCATTAAATCTACAGCCCATATAAAGATAACTTTGCTACAAATCAGTTTCACCAAGGAACTGAGGAAATGACACTAAAACTTAATTTCAGACTCGCCTAAACAAATTCCCTTCATTCACACTGCTTGCAGTCTAAATACAGCAATTTGGATGAATCTGTTTTCAGCATTACTGCGATCTGCACTCACACATAAAACTTTGGATTATACAAATAATTCAAATAAAACTGCATAGCATTTAGTTTTCATGAAAGATTAATTTTATTACTTATTATTCAGAGTTTCAGCTTGTTAGGATGCTCTGAACTAAAAGACCTAACAGCTATAAAATAGAACCCAACCATAATACATTTTGAAATAAAAGCCAACAGAATTTACCTTTCTGACAATAAGGACATTTGTGATCATCATCTCCTCGATGTGTTTTAAGGTGATAATAAAGACTGATTTTTGTAACAAGTTGACGAGTGCAACCTTTCCAAGGGCATTGCATTGGTGGACTAAAATAAAAATTTCAAAGCTATTAATTTACATAATAAAAATAATTTGTTTGCATAAGTTAACAAGATTTTGCTTAATAATACATATTTAATACATTCAAATGCACTTGCGTGAATCTTGTATTACTTTTATAAATAACACTACATTTATGTTATGTTAATTTAAGCAGACACTTTCAACAAAAGAACTCATTTAATTATTTAGAAGAACACTGCTACATAACAAGTTATTTTTGCATCCATTCTTGTTTCTAGAATGAAAATGATGAAGTCGGTGTTTTTGCCAAATGTTTTTTAATTTATACATGTTTTGATTGATTTAAATTAATCACGTAATTTTTATACATAATAAAAGGAAGAGTCTTTCTGACTTTTGTTCGTGCTGCACATAAGCTAGACCAAGGGCTAAGTTTGGTACATAAAAGCATCTAGACAAGAACCAGTGCACCTCGAAGAGATTTTTTAAAATTTTATGTTTTTTGATGAAATCAAATCAAATTGATGCTGCTGATATCACTGTTGCCACTCCAAATACTGAGGGTGATAATTTTGTGCAGTCTTTAAATTTAATTTCTCTCTTGGATACTGGATGCTTGTAGAGAGAAGGCAACAATAAGTTGGTTAACTTACTTATTAGGATAACTAATATTTGAATTAAGGGATATTGCTTTTTCCAGTACATTTAAAATCCAGATGAAGTCTGGCCGCTCAATGACTAGTGATAAAATAAAGATAAAAAAAAAGCATACTCTAATTTTGCAAAAAAGCAAAACAGAAATGGTATACAGCATAGTTCATAGAAAAATAAGTTGCACTGCAACTAGAAATATCACATAAAATGTTATTTAAATATTAAGAACTCAGGACTGGGTAAAAAAAAAAAAAAAAAAAAAAAAAAACTACCACCCAGAGTGGCCCTTTTGTCACCTAAGTTGTAACAGTAACCTTTTATTGTGTATAAATGACTAAAATATTATTACAAATTTTGTATAGGGCTCTAACGAAAGTTTCCCGCCACCACAAATATTGCCTGTGCAAACAGTTCACGTTACTATGTTTAATCATATTTTATCAAACGATTTTTTGGCAAGAGACTTGCTTCAGAACACTGTGTAGTGATATTTATAAAAAAATATCGGTATCTTTAAGTACAAGGTGTCTGAAATGAAACTATCAAGAGTACCAGATTAGAAAAATCATTTATTTCCAGTTCTGTTGCAAAAAGTCAGCTACAGAATGTCACCAAATCATGTGTATAGCTTTAGGTACTAATGCTGAATCATATGACATTGTGAAGGTTTGCTACAAGAAGTTCAAAAACAAGAACTATGACATTCAAGAAGCAGTGCGCTCTGGTCGGCCTACTGATGTTGATGAGGCCTGCCTGCAAAACCTCCTGGAAGATCAGTATGCAACTACTCAGAGTTTGCTAAGGAGTTAGATGTTAGTGACATGTCCATTAGCCGTGCTATGCATTGCATAAACTTGACATACAAGTTCAATCGCTAGAGGCCGCATGAGTTGCACAAATAAGGAGAGATGTGTTCAGGCCTGCACTAAATCTACTCAAATATCAATGCAAGGACAAAACTCTGAACTGGATCGTCCCTGTGATGAAAAGTGGATTTACTTCAACAACACAGGCGATAAGGGGGTTGGTCTGCAGCCAGTCAGCACATCAACAGCGTCGTAAAGTGCAATCTTAAAAAAAAAAATCATGCTTTGTATATGGTAGGATTGGCATAGTAGTATCCACAAAGAGTACCTGGAAAAAACCTTGACAGTAAGGTGCACCGCAAGTGAACTCAGTTCCGCACAAAAAGGTACTGACTGTTCCATCAAGATATTGCAAGACCACATGTGTCTGCATTCACCAGTTAGACTCTGTACGGATTTAAATGGGATCTTTTGCCACACCCACCATACAGCCCTGACATCACTCCTTCGGACTCCACCCTTTTTTCACACCAGCAGCTACATCTTGCTGGTGCTATCTTCCATTCTGCACAGCACATCTGAAATGAGGTTAACTGTTTTTGGACTCACTGCCACTAAGTTTCTGGACTGACTGCTTTGAAAGAACTACTAAAATGTTGGCAGGGTGGATTTGGGTGGTGATTACTACCCGAACCAAAAGTATTGGTTTCATGTGTTTTTGCTAACTTTATTACGAATGCTTTTTTGGTGGTAAACTTTCTTTACAACCAGATATATATGCAAATCATTCGAGTGAGATTATATGTAAATTGTAGTATTTTCTGTATAATGTAACATTAAAGGTGTCAAGAATACAAAAGTGCCAAGCCGGCAATGCTTACGTGACTTATTTTTGTTGCCACACATGGCGAGAAATTGCAAAAATTGGGGAGAATTTTGATCTGATCCCTACATAACTGTACATGCCTTTCAGCGATTTTGAGAAATTGAAGGTATTGGAAATTTCTCAGCAATTAGGCAGAACTATATAGACAGAGCATTAGTTCTCAATTTAATTCAGAATTTAGCTGAGAGTACTGAGAAGTCAGTGAGCAACTTTATGCATTGGGGCTTTTTATTGAGTTCTATGTTTAACATTCTTAGTAGTTTGAAGTGGTAAGTGCTGATTGTGTGCTCTGTCATGCTGAAAACAGCAGTATGACAGAGAAAGTACTTTTGTGAAAAGTTCCAGAACTGTATAGTGTTTCTTTAGAGAAAATAAATTTTATCAAGCTATCATCAGTTCTGTGTGCATTCAAACCATTACTAACCCATTCACGGGGAGTAATATTAAAATAAGTAGAACACAATTATGAATTGTGTATTGACATTGAACATTGTATTGACCCTAAACATTGAAAATACATTTAAAAATATTTATATGAAGGAGGAAAATAAGGATTAGGATTATTCAATTATGGCAAAGCACACGAGGGCTATCTGCCTAAAGGGAGGGAGGAAACTTAAGACAACACATAAGATAGTATTGCAAAGAAATATACTTTGAAAGTAACGCTTGAGTATTATTAAAAAAAAAAAAAACCTGCTGATAACTTTAAATCAGTTTGAAATATATAATTTATAATCTCTTGATGCTGTCATCTCAAGAAAGAATATATACTTGTTAATTATACTGATACTCTCAAAAAGTATTCTTTCTGGTTTCAAGGACTTTTAATGCAATTTTTTCTGGCAGTCACATTGTCACAGTTAGCACCAACAGTTTTATTTGCTATGATTTTAGGAACTGTTGCTTCAGCAGGATCATTGTTAAGCATCATATAACAGCATCAATGTTAAGGTACGAGTTATTCATTCACACAATTTTTTCATGCTACTTTATTTTCTACAAATATTTGGTGAAAACAGAACAGCAGTCCTTAAACAGTTCATCCAGAGCTCTTGTAGGGAAGCATGCCAAAAATTTCATTCCTTTTAATGTAAACACTAGCATACTGTCCTTTATTATTTACCAGAAATGTCTCTGATCTAACTTTATATGTGTGCTTTTGGTTTGCTTGTGTTCCATCTAGTATTTAAAAAACAAAACATAAAAGAACCCTATGCATTTCAGTGAAACTGACCACCTCTGTTTGCAAATGGATAAAGTATGTAGATTATAGAAACTAGTTCCTTGGATTCCCAGCTGTCAGCACTAGTCGCAGAATTGGTTTTTTCAGAGTTGTAATTATTCGCCCCTTTTGGCTCCTGCTCAAGCTGTGGATCTAACAGTTTTCATTATTCGCTCTTTTTATCACCCCTGCTCTAGCCGCAAATATTTATAAACATAAATTTATCTATCTAATGTATTTTTTCAAGTTGCAGAACAAAATGTGGACTAAATGAATGAGAGAACCTTGAGGAATATTTGGTATCATTTGGTGAAATTAGATAAAAAGATAATTTCCATTTGGGATCTGCCTCCAATTTAAAAATTTATTTTTACACTGTGCTTTGTAGTAGCAACAAAATATCAATTATAATAATAAAATAATGTAATCTTTAACAAAAGTGAGTTTAGCTTTCATTATTTTTTTTTTATTTTTAATATTTTTTATTCCAGAATTTATTGCTGTTCTATGTAGAAAGTTTTTTTTTTTTTTTTTTATTTATTTTTATGGAAATCTCAAAAGTACAGTTGAAACAAACCAGTCCAGAGAGTGAGTGGTTTGGTTGAGTTGATTCCAGCAATCCCATTCCTTGTTGATTTTTTCTGCTCCCCCCCCATCTCTGCACACCACTCTTGATCCATGCTTGTTTCAAGCACATTCATCAAGGTCAGTGCTAGTGAGCGGTGAATCATTAAAAAGAACTAATTCACTTCAGTGAGTAAACAGTTTGCCCATCTCTACTGAGAACTGAAGTTGGCATCTAAAAAGTGACTTAATATAGTATGCACTATGTAGACATGAAACAGAAATTGGTCAGAATCACAAAAATATGATTTAGTAAGAGGAGTGGCCTACTATCCAGGTAAAATGCTAATGAAATCTTTCTGTATAACATGCTAAGTCTAATGGTATGGAAATATACGTCATGTAAAGGAACATGAAGATACAATTCATTTAGAGAACCATGAATTAGAAATAGATAGCATATGGATGCCCTGAGTCTTCATACACAATGAATAACTTAGAATGTTTATGTTACGACAAAATAGCAAACCATACTATTTCAAAAGGAATAACTTGCTTAATTCTCCTTTATTGTTTATGTGTCTAGAATCTCTTCTTGTTGGGCTGCGTTAATGACACAACATTGAGAAATAATCTTAAAACAGTAAAAATGTGAACAGTTCAAAGAAAATTTGAAAATTAACTACACATTTGAAAAATTTATCCACGTAGTTTTTTATAAATCCACTCCCTCCAAAAAAAAAAAAAAAAAAAAAAAACTCTACGCTCTTGCATAGCTTTTGAGAATGAAGTTAAAAAATATATTTTTGCACCTATTCACAATTTGCCTTATTTCATGGATTTGTAATGGATTGAATGCCCACAGAACTGACAAAAACATAGACATAAGTATTTTATCGAGAATGATTAAACAGAACTTTCTTACATTTTATAAATGGAAGTGAGTATATAAAATAAATAGAAGGGATTTATATAAAACATAGATTCATGAAGATTTAAACAAGCTGATATTTTTAACGATAATAAAATTTTTGCACTTACTCATGAGCTTCCATGTGAGTTGCAACTTGTTCTTTGTGAAGGAATCGTCGATGACAAATTTCACACTCAAACACTATGCCATGTGTTTTTAAATGGCCCCAGACGCTTTGAGTTGCTTGGAATTTACGACCACAGAACTAATAAAACAAAAGCTATTTACTAAAGCAAACAAAAGCCCCCCCCCCACACACAAAAAAAGATTTAAATTTATCTGAAGGGGAATTTAAATTGCAAAAGAAACACATTTTATACGCAAACTGGTGAGAACTTTTGAAAATGTTTCTTAAGTAGTACTATGAATATTTTCCAAATGTGATAAATTAATAACATAGTAATTAATATCAAAACTGTGAAAGCATATGAAATCAAAATACTGATTTAAAATTGACCAAACATGTAATCACTAAAACACTTTGCAAAAGTACACATTTAATTAATCTAAAACTAAAATCTTGACTCAAACAAGTAGCAACATTATTTAAACTGACATTATTACAAAAGAAAATTAAAAAAATGGTTAATATTGTTGCGAACGACGCATGCTCCGCTCTTGGGAAACAGATCGAGCCTCCTGACCAACAAGCATAGAAAAAGAAAGTTTTTTTTTTTTTTTTTTTTTTTTTTAAAACGGCAACGACGAGGAACAATTGACGTTAAGTAGATTAGAAGTTTTTTTTTTTTGTTGTTGTTGTTGCAATGATTGAGATATTATTACTGTTTTGTGTGAAGTGTCAAAAACGTCAAGTAATTCACGCAAAATAGTGTCAATTTTAGATGAGTTTGAAATATAGTCTCCCTAAGCTGCAGACCAGAATCGAAGAACGAGGATCATAATGGCCCTATCACTTCTATGGACGCGCGCGCTTACCCGGGACAATTCCGAGAAACGAGATTCTAGTAGCACGGCTTTAAGCGGCAGGCTTCCGAGAAATGTTTCGTCTAGCTAGGAGGAACGTATCCCAGCTACGAGCAACATTTTAAAACTTTTCCGAAAATGTTCCGGGTGGAGACGTGTTCCTCGAACGTTCAACCAATCAGACGAAAGTTCTGCTTCTGAAGGATCACGGGTAACTTTCAATATGGCGGTGGCTCTCACTGTGATGTCATGGACGGTGGAAATAGAGGCTGATTTAATTATTGCTGTTTTGTTGTAATAATATAACTGCCTGTGTCATTTTTAAAATGTTTATATATTCATTAAATATATAATCGTGGAAATTTAAGAGTTGACAGTATTTTACGACGTTCTTGCAGTTTGGATTTGTTTACAAATTGTTCATCGCCAAAAGTTCGCCAACTTTGTCGTATTTCGTGCTGATCGTGTATTATCACTTATATAATAGAATTTTATTTCTTAAATTTAAGTTGAATAATTTTTTAAAATCCGTTTGTATATGTGCGGCTTTTCTCCTAATTACTTATCTTTTAAATTGTTAATTGCATAATCAGTCACACATTTTAAACAGCATAAAAGATGCATAAAAAAAAGAAAAGCATAGCTTATGTAATAATGAGAATACTCATTAAATGTGTCTATTATTTTCATGTTATTAATGAAATACTTTTTGGATTATAAATACATTAGAAACTATACTTTTATTGTAAATGCTACATATTGAAACATTGGATATTTATGGATTTATTATTATTCATGGTGAAAAACATTTGTATATACATTCATTAATATAAAATCTTATTCAATTACATTAATACTAATAATACATACATCAACAACTTCCTAAACCATCGCACCTCTCTACCCTGTATGTAAATATGTGACTTATTAAATGTGTACATATATGTATGTATGAATAGAAAAATGGAACATTGGGAAAACGTTTACTTGAAGTTACTTTTAATTCATATAACGATCATGTAATTAGGCAGCAACTGTAGTCATCAGTTCTTTGCAAATTATTAAGGATATGTAATATTCAGATGGAAATTAACTAAAGTGAACAGCATTTGAGTACTTAAAGAGCTAGTACACATTAAAATTCATTGGTTTAATTCATAATTATATCATATTTATGATCTACGTAATATAAACATGACTAATAAATAATAAGAAATGTAACAGCTGTGCATTTATAAGATTTGATTACATAAAACAGTGCACAACTGATTATCACCTTCACATCTGTTTACATAATGAATTGTACTTTCCAATTAAGTACACGGGCCTATAAGTGACCGAAGCGTCGTTGAACACTGGTAGTTCTGTCTCAGGTTAGAATGCTGCGAACAAGCTGGCTACATGGGCGTTTTCTTGGTTTTCTAAATTTGTAACTGGTATTCAAGCCGGTTTAAAAAAAATCTTCTACAAAGGGATCCCTCTTGTTGTTATCCCTCGAGGCTTTGCGGTAATCACATAAAACAATCTGAGCCCACCAGCGACAGAGTGGTAAAGTCGCTGAACACTGGTAGTTTGGTCCGAGGTTTGAATCCCGCGAACGGGCTGGCTGCATGGGCGTTTTCGTGGTTTTCCCCAATGTGTAACGTGTGTACGAGCTAGTTCCCCTTAGAAAGTCCTCCACGAAGGCATTCTTTCCCTTAGGAAGATAGCCCTAGTGTGCTTTGCTGTAATCTCAATAAACCAAACCATAAAACAAACTCATGATGTGAACACCTAATTTCTAGAGTTGGTATATTAATGTGTTTTAGGTATATTACCGAGTGTTCTATGGGACAGTAAACAACTCGCACATATTTGATTGCTCATGTATTCATATGCTTTATTTGATCTTCATTTTGCTGAATAGTATCTGCTGGCTGTGAGGAGGTAAATATCAGCCATATAGATTTTTTTTTTTTGTTTTTTTTTTGTCTGTTTGTTTGAATGGACAGAACAGTAATTATGAGCCATAAAGTTAGTCAGAAAATGCTTTCACCAGTCACTAGGTGGTCACAAATTTTCCAGTGAGCCATCAAATTTTCATTGAAATGCAGACAACAGAAAATACACATAAGCGATGTGTGATAAATAGACTTATCCAGCACACGTTTTTAAACTATTCTTAGTGTATACAGAATTTGGCTATTACTGATGTAATTGATTGCTATAACCAGAAGTGTGTTTATCTGTTACGTGAAGTGCCAAAGTGGAGATCAAAGTGATTAACTTGATAGCAATCACCTTTCTATTATCTTCCATTACTAACAATAAAGTTTAAAACGAAAAGCATGTGAGCGATACAAAACAACACGAAGAAGAGAATGTCACTTGAAAGGAAACGTCACTTTCACCAATCTGAGCGATAATTGATTCTTGCTTGGCTTTCAGCCTATTTACCAAGTGAAGATGGTAACCCTATTTCGCCAAAGGGCGTTTCTCAGTACTGTTGCTGCAGACGTTTTGTTCTGGCAACAAATATCGTATGTGATAACGCTTTAAAGGTAAGCAACTTCACTATGCTAATCAAGAATTTTGAATTATCTGTTTCCTGAAACAAAAAATATGTTGTTCACATACTAACAGAATATAATTTTCATGCATAATTTTAATATTTAATAATAACTAGTTGGGGGAAGGAATGCCTTCATACTGGATTTTCTAAATTGGCTCATATTATGCATGAAGAATTTAAAATTCTCATATAATTAGCTCATTCAATTACCAAACCCAGAGCAAACTACCACCGTTTCTCAGCTTTAGCATATCAACTCTAGAAATATATAATTAAACCAGAATTTATTTATTTATAAATAATCCATTTTTAGGGAGGAAAGCACCACAGACCTTAAATTATTCATACAAAATAATAATTCATTTAAGAGATAAATAATAATAATAATAAAAATAATAATTCATTTAAGGATCAACAAATAGCCAATATATTGACATAATTTTAAGAAAAATGAGTTTGAAAGTGTAATAAAATAAGTCTATACTAAATAGCAAAAAGATACATTATATTAGATTAAATTTTTACCTTACCTCACATACTGTTGCAATTTCTGGATGCACTTTCTGAATGTGCATTCTTCTAGAATCAGGCTGTAAGAACTGCAAGCCACATTTTTGGCATTTGTAATCATGGTCATCATTTTCCATATGCTGAATAAAATATTGATGCATGCCAAACCAGGTTAGGCAAACTTTGCACTGATGATTTCTTGCTTCAATGCCAGCAGGTCTGCACTTTTCCTAAAATGAGATTTATTTTTTCAATTTCAATTAAATACTTTACAAGGATTCAAAACAGTAAAATTTTTATATTAGACATATAACAGGAACTATTTAATGAGATTCAGTACCATACAATATCAGTAATTATTCCATTGTAACTTAAATCCAATTCAAGAGTCCCCTCTATTTAAAAGTCTTTTTAATATGTATGTTGAAGGAGAAATGTCTAGGATAATTAACATATAAAATGATTTCTCAGAATCCATGCTTCAGATAAAAATCAGTACAATGGTATTTTTATAATTTCAGGTTACTGGTAGAAAATTTGTTTTTCCTATTATTCAATTATAAAATTGTACAATGTATTTTCTTAATCAGCAGACATTGAAAACTTTTTTGCTGCATTTCAAAACACTATCTTGATACTACCTCTCAGAATAAATCTACTAAAATACATACCAAAAAGATTATTATTAACCTTTAATCCCATAAACAACAGAATATCTTCAGCACTATTGCAACCTTCTAGCAATATTCCTTGTCATTTTTTAGGCAATTAAATTAATTAATATTGATAATATTTAAGGATTTGTGGAATGACACACAAAAAGAAACACTAGTGCTTCAGTGCATTATCCAGTGTGCTTTTGTTCTGCATAGGAAATGAATATACACATAAAAGCATTAGCTTTGATATTTATATTGTAAAAAACATACATTTCATATGACAATATATTATTTTGTTCATATAAAATAAACATATTTTATTGCAAACTACAATTGACCAGATTAATTGGAGTATTCATAATGCTCAGATACACAAACTAAATACACTTTTCTATGGAAGGATGAACCATAATTACAATATTCTGGATATTTCGATTATTCTTCAAGGTTATAAGAAGGAACATAAATCAACACATCTTTTAAGTATCAAATATTTTATCACAAATAACACATATTTAACCCTCTAAGCGGCAAGGCCGTATATATAACGCCTAGAATATTTTTTGTGATGTCTGTAAGAACGTATATATACATGCATATTAAAATATGTCAAAGAAATTAAGGCAATGCAGTCAAAAGTCGTTAACCCGGACCTCAAAGCCTTTCGCATGCGCATAGGCTTTTGCTCATGCGTATAATACGTTTACACATGCACGTTTAATGCATAACAGACGGTATAAGCTAAAATTATCTAATTATCTATTTCAGTTAATGTTGCAGTTTGCGTTGTTCCTTAATCTTCTAATTGGATCCAGCTTATTATTTTTTGCAGACTGTTAGAGCAATTTTATAAAAGTAAGCTTGAACTTTTGATTATATCAAATAGAATTTCTGATGCTGGAGCTGCTAAAGGATCTAGAAAGCGAAAGTACGTTTCGATGTCCATCAAACAAAAAGTGGAATTGCTGCAAAAAATGGATAAAGGCATATCTGTCTCGAAATTATGCGAGGAATATGGCATTGGATGACACAAGAAAAAAGAAAAAGGAACTTTTTGTGAAAGCATCTTAAACAACTTACATTTGAAAGAAATGTTTAATAAAGTAAACAAATAAATATTAAGCTTTTTTTTTTTTTTTGTAAATTTTGATACCCTTTAGATCATAATTGTTCTTTATTTCATAAATTACAGTTTCATATTTTTAATTTTATAATTTCTGCATGCCATCTTACCACCAGATTTAAACTGATGACTATAATCCGAAATCGCCGAAATTCGCGACGACACGTCAAGCATTGAATTGGAAGTTCATCTGTCAGCATTATCCTTATCTTCAGGGCAGATGTTTTTATTTTATTTGGCTTATAATTCCTTACTAAATGTTGTATTTCATCTCGAAGTACTCCGTCTTTGATTTAAATCAAATTCCTCGTCATTATAATTCGCTTCCGATAGTGAAGAAAGTGTCACAGAGGTCATTGAAAATGAAAAAATTTCAATTGACAAATTAGTCGGTATTCTCGACACAGCAATTATAGGACTTGAACAGCAGAACTTTGTAACTGAACAAGAAATTATGTCTGTTTATAGAATTAAAGAGAAAATATTATCACATAAAACGAAGCAACTTAAACAAATTACATTGAAAGAAATGTTTAATAAAGTAAACAAATAAATATTAAGCTTTTTTTTTTGTAAATTTTAATACCCTTTAGATCATAATTGTTCTTTATTTAATAAATTATGGTTTCATATTTTTAATTTTATAATTTCTGCATGCCATCTTACCACCAGATTTAAACTGATGATCTATAATCCGGAATTGCCGAAGTCCCAACGAGTCCGGATTAAAGACTTTTGACTGTATATCAAAAGAAAACAAATTCAGAAATGAAAGTTTTTACATTAAAATCAAAAAATAATAATAATAATAATAATAATAATTTGTTCTCATAGCAGTTGTGGGAAATTTGTGCTTTCTTAGTGAAAACCCTGGCCGCTCAGAGGGTTAAGACAACCTTGCAGAGTCTGCTTAGTTAAGAAAGCTCAATACATACTAGCCAACCTACGACACTAAAAAATCAGGATTTTTCAATGACAAAAAGATTTTTTAAATAATAGAAATATGTAGAAAGAAAAAATATTTTTTAATAATGAATTTAAATAGTAACTAATTAATATGAATTAATGTAATTCTACACTGTAGAACTGTGTTAAGAACATCAAATGATAGCACAAAGAAGCATACAAAAAAGGAAGAAGCCTAGTCAAGGTTCGAAGACAAAAACATAAATATTCATTCTTCACAAAATAAACTTAACAATAATCGAAAAATGCGTCTTGTATTTATTATTATTATTTTTATTTATTTTTTAAGGAGAGCTTTACACTTACTTATATTTCATAGTATTATTTTGAGAATTTCCAATTAAATTGCTCGCAGGTGCAAAGGTTACTTAATTTTCTCACATCTATTTTTAACAGTGGAAACAATAACTATATCTCCATTTATTACAAGGTATTTTATAACTTTGATCCTTAACCTTTTATCTTTTATCTTAACTTTAGAAGAATTTACTTCTACCTTAAAAAATGTACAAAGTGAGTTCCATTGGTCAAGGATTCTACAGGGTACATAACCACATTTTAGTTAAAAAAAGAAGCACCTTAAGCACTTTTCAAGCACATTTTAAGGAAAAAATAAGCACCTGTCTAATTATGATATACACAACTGCATAACCTTAAAAGAAAAATTAGACTTGTAATTTAAAATATAAGCAATGCAATATTTATTAAGAAAATGAGCATTATCTCAACCATGGAAAACAATTAACTTTTTTTTTTAATTTTAAATGACAGTTCAATTTACAGAATTAGTTTACAATGAGAAGAAAAAAAAACTACTAAACTGTATTACAAGATTTAATGATGAAATTTCAGTTCAAAATATAGAAAATAAATAATAATAAGCCATATCAACTGTATTCGTTTGGCACCTAATAAAAAATACAATTTATTTTTCCACTCATATTAATATTTAAATAATTTAACTTAAATCAAAATTCTGAACAATTTCTCAATCCAGATTGGACCGGGGGGGGGGGGAAATCAGCTGCTTCAATATTAGAGATTTTGCGGAGAAAGTGGAGAACCTCCCAACTGTAAATCCATACTGTATAATGTATTGGGGGGGAAAGAAATTATTTTGACTATTCGATTACCTTCCTTTTATTTAAGCCATTCCAAATATTATTCCCTAGAAAGCTAATCTGTGTAAAAACACACCCATTTTTGGAAGTTTATCTATACTTTAGCAATTACTGCAACTACATTATTATAAATATTCATGCATATACTCATAATATAAGCATAATGATCATAATAAACACGAATATGAACTGACCACGCGGAACAAGAATGCAAATTATTAAAATCTTAATAGAAATTCAAACGTGTGTAGTATTTGGGTGGGAGGAAAAGAATACCGAATGTATCGGAATTTTCTACCATTTTCGCAATTCTTTGACCAAAAGAACGACGTGCACCATAGGTTACAGTAATGCAGAGAAAGGGGGGAAAAGCAATTTCCGGGAGTATGATTCACTATCTGACATTGCATATAAGGAAGAAAAGTTGTTTATTTAGTTTCGGCTTCGGTACGGGAAAAAAATGCACGTTGATTAAAAAAAAGGTCTAAAAGCAAAAATAAGCATTAAAAACAAAAAAAATAAGGGCTTTAAAGAAAAAGTAAGCACCTATAAGCACCTTTATATTTCATTTTCAAATATAAGGACTTATAAGCACTTGTTAGGACCGCTACGAACCCTGATTCTAGATAAACATTTCTCTAAAGATAGCAAGCATGCACACACATATTTCAGATTTTTGCTTATTTCAGTATTATGCAGCTGTTAGATTGTTTAAATTTTCCCATAAATCCATTTTGGCAATCTATCCAAGATAATACTAAATATCAACAATGTGTTCAACCACACTGACTACCAAGGAAGCTGACCTTTTTTCACTGCTAAATTTAACAGGTGACAGGTGGATTTTATAATCTGCAAATATGAATTTTTTTTTTCTTTCAGATGCAATATCAGTTTTCAAACCTACAATTCCTAGTGCACTGTCGGCACTAAGTGCTAAGCAATTATTCTGAAGAACTGCACTTTTTTTTTAAAGTTTTAATAATTAACTGTGTTATATATTAAAGCTTGTTGAATCTCATTCTAAAGTGATGAAACAGAAAGTAAACTAGACTCAATTTCTGAAGACTCTGGATTAAAAAAGAAAAAAAGAAACAACAATCAGCTACAGTTTTGTATCAGTATTATTGCTTCCATCTGTAGACAGGCAGAATGGAAATGTTTTAATGCAATCAATAACTGAAGATTTATTTTTCATACCAATTTCTTCTACATTTACAGCCTTTTTTGTCCTTGCACTTAAGTAATTCTTGCGATTTTACTGGAGAGAAACATTTTGCTAAAAAAGCTGCAGCATAATTTGATTCCTTCAGTGGCTCCAGTAAAAAGTCAGAGAACAGGCATTCTGTTTAAAAAACTTTTTTTTATATTTTGTTCAACAGATCCCTCCCCCTACATCTCATGTTATCCTTATGCATATCTTTAAGAGCAACAGCTCTTCCACCCTGCAAAACTGAAAAATCGCAATGATAAACGATACACATAGCAATATTACATTTCCTTGGCAAAATAATATAATGAAAGTCATCTGTTTATGATTTTTTTTTTAAACGTACGATTATTATACATTTTTCACAGACATAACTAAGACAAAAGATTTCAGTTTCTTAAACTGTTTCTGGGAAGCAAGCAAAACCTGAGCTGCCCACTGGCGAAACAAATGAAATAAAGAATCTTGACCTTGTTTTGTGCTCATTGGCTAATATATTGCAGATGACCCGCAGCTGCACTTGATTCTTATTGGAGAACTAGATCATGACGATTTCTGATACGGGTTTAAGACTTTCATACACAAAGCAGAAATGCGTCATGTCTCACTGATGAAACAACACCAGTTTTTTATATGCACTTTAAATCACCAAAATTCGCTTTTTTTTTTTTTTTTTTTTTTTTTGTGAAAATAATGAAGTATTAAGACAAGCTACATAAAATAAGAATAAGAGAAAATTGGGAGAAATATGTTGAAAATTAGTTTTACGGGATTATGGTCGGAAATATGGAGTCTCTCGCCTAAATAAGGAGAGTTGGCAACTCTGTCAATATATGTGATTATCATCAAAACCAATACATGTAGGATCATGTCGAAATAAATATTCACACATGTCAAAAATATTTAAATTCCATTTCTGCTGTTGTTGTCTTGTCCATGTATTTCATGGGAAAATGATCGTCAGAGCCTCAAGGGGGGGTTGGAATTTTATTTCCACCCAAATTTTGAGTGAAAGCATGCCAGAGAGGGGCACAAGGGTCTTTCGGCTTGCCATATATTTAGAATGCCCCTATGCTTCAAAGATGCTATACATTTACAAACACCCATGCCTTCTCCAGGATTAGAACCCAGATCCTTCGGTACCGCATTAGGCTTCTCTAACCACTATACCGTCTTGGCGGCAATACCGTCTTGGCAAATACTATACCGTCTTGGCGGCAGTTCCATTTCTAGTTGAATCATATCAATAGAATGTGCAATAATATAGAGAGAGAATAAACATTAAACGTTTAATGCAAACTTTACCAAAGTACATAGAAAGACATTGCAGATGCTTAGATTATATAACTAAATTAATTTTAATGATATAATCAGAATCCCATCCCCCCAAAAATGAAGATTTTTAATGGTCATTCAACTAAACTAAATCTTCCTAACACAATCAACGAGAGCAGCACACACTATCTTTTGCTGCCAAAATGGTCACCTTAGAGAATTCAGTTGATGTCCGTAGCTAATGTTTTTGTAATATAAACATATATCACATGATGTATGGTATCACTAATGAAGTTAGTTTATGTTCTTAGAAATAATAGTCATTTTCAGAAGTCGGATTTGCAAAATAGGCTAGTCTTTTCTATTAATGTCTGCCCACGTGATAAGATTTGATATTTTACATACTTGTGTCTAGTGATAAGTAGAAAAAATAAAGGGAAGATAAATATGTTAAGAAAAAGATTCTAGTATCAGAAGTAAAACATTCAAATATTATGTTTCCATTGTTCTTTCAGATGTTCTCCAAAAAGTAAGAAATTCATCATAAAATTTCCATAAAATACATCCATTACATGTCAATACCATGGAGAAATTTTTCATTTTGTCACATATTTCTCTAATCTTCCAGAATTGTGGGTCTATAAATCTTGTCTTCAAATCCTTCTAAACTTTCCAAGCTGCAATGTCTAAAATCCTGAAGAAAAATTAGCCCTACCAATTCTGTAACAGCAAAAAGCCAGAAATATTTTTTTGGGGGGAAAGGAGGGGGAAAAGTATAAAATTAATTTTATAGAGAAAACTGATGCATATTCTGAGACAATTACATGGAAAAAACTCTTACTACAAAAAAAGAATAAATTTTTAATTAATTTACATAGCTAATTTTGCTTTTGGTAAGAGCTGTTTGGTAAATTGTACTTTATAGCATTATACCTTGTTTATTTTTCAGATTCAAAATAATGTATAATAAGTTGCCAAAATGAAACTTTATGATATGAAAGCGAAAAATAAAAAATGATTTATTTTAATGCTATTTTTTAAATATAATTTCAATATATTACCATTATTTTAATGAAATTCATCAATGTCACGATGATGTTTTAAAAAAATCGTTGAAAAATTCCCAGATCTTGGAATTAAAATTTTTCTACAGAAACTGATCTTAAAATCGCCAAAGTGTTGATTTAGAACGGTTTAATAAAAGAATTCACATCCCCAAAAGCGAAAAGTTGTTTAAGAGCTCATTATAAGAAAAAAAAAGAATTTCGAAATGCTTATGTCTCACTTTTTGCTTAAAAACTCGAGTATCCCATCATTTATTATTAGAAATAGAAACAAATTATAACCCATGTACCCATTTTAAGGACTCTTATTAAGGACCGTATGAACCCTGGGGTAATGCAAAATCTGAAGGCTTTCAGATTTTTTTTAAACATTATATGATGCTTATAGAATGATAAAAGTAAACTTGTTTTATACAAACTGTTTGCATCCAATTATTACTTACGTGCATTTTCATATAGTGACTTGCATGTTCAATAGACACATTGTGCTCTTTCAATTCATCTTCAGTATTGAAAGTTTCATCACATATACTACAGTTGTGGGCATGGTCTTGATTATGAACTTTCACATGGTTCTGAAACTCTTTATAATTAGTGTATGTGCTTTCGCAGGATGTTATAGCACAACGGAAGCGTTTCTCAGAAGAGTGCAGATCTTGCATGTGTAAATAATACAAAGGATAACTTTTTATGACACTGTCACAAAGATGACAGTAATGGCCAACTTTTGTTTCCAAACCAAGATCTGCTAATTCTTCTTTACCGGGAATATCCTTCATAACAAGGGTGCTTAAAATTTCTCCATTTTCATCTGAATTTTTAAGAGCATCTGTTTCTGAAATGGAGAAAAAAAATCATATAGCATGATACCTCCTTAATCTGCTCAACTATATGACATGTTTAAAGTAATAAATAATCATGCTCAATCAAATGTCAGACTTACAGACTCAAATCACACACATGCAATATTTACCCATTTAGACAATTAATTCTTCACAAAATTTACATTACAATATACTTACAAAACATTATAACATAATGCAAGACGTCCCATAAATTTATTGAGTTACAGCCCAGCTACTGAACTACTATCACTATTTTTCGTTAACAGGGTGCTAGTTTCATTGCATGAAAGCACCTAAAGTGAAAGCTTACTCAAGTATTATAATTAGCTTAAATCATGAATAGCTAGCTATTAATGAAGTCACAGTGAATAAGTAGAAAGAACGAACATGCCAATAAGTACAGCAGAACTCCAATTATCCAAATCAATCTGGGCCAGACTCCATTCAGATAACTGGATTTTTTAGCAAAGAAAGGGTCTACGTACACTTTGATTATTGCATGCATAGTACGTTCAAAATGGGAGGGACTCTTTTTAAAGAAAAAGAGGTTTTAATTAATTAAAATGAAAAGGCAACACTCTTACATACATGTTATATAGCATACTGTACAGTACTTACAAGTGCTGAAAGTCATCGCTTGCTGAACATCTCAATCAAAGTAAGCTGTTTGATGGACACATTGCCTGCCCTTAAAAATCAGCCATCAAGTGCTTTAAATGATGGACAACCAAGCTTCAAAGCTAGGATCTTAGCTTTTTCATAAAGAATGAAACCCGAAATTAGGTTCCTCGTAGAACGCTGCTGCAAAAACAGCTTGAAAATGACAACTTCTAAATTTTTCTTTGTTGCTACCTTCATTGATTTTCTTGAACTTTCAACTTCGTTTTTAAACAGTGACACGAAGTTTCAAGGTTCGCTCCTTTTAATGTCTGAAGTAGTTGATTATTCAACACTACGTTTCCATGTTAACTTTTTTTTTTTTTTTAATTCTGAATTCGGATAATTGGAGTTGTACTGTATCCCACACCTAGATCTTCTCTCTCTTTTTTTAAAGGAAAATATCAAATTTTTGAAAGGCTGCGAGGCAGAGCAAAATGTCGAGATAAACAATAGTGCAGCATTCCAGCCGCCACTAGTTAAGATTTCTACTTAATTGAGTTTGTGTGACACTGTTTTCATTGCAAAATAATGTTTTTGGCAACATTAATTGAAGCATAAAATTTTCAGAAATGACAGCTTTACACCTGCTGCATAACCTGAAATTAATATCATAAAATCATTTTAATTTTTTCTACGTTTTGTATTTAATAAAATAATCATTCCTTTCATGAAACTATACATAGAGTCAGGCTTCACTCAGATGAGAGTTTTATGGCTTAAGATATAGAATTGATTAAGTCTGTTAACACCTGTGTAACAGAGTTTAAACCAAGCAATCAGAGATTTTAAAATTGTGCTTGTGTACATGTGCAGTTTTCTTGAACTTTCAACTTCGTTTTTAAGCAGGGACATGAAGTTTTAAGGTTCGCTCTGAATTAGTATGTGCAGTTTACCCAGCAAAATCATCAACCAAATCACAGTTCACGTTTGCTTTAATGTGACTGGCCAATTCTCATATCAAGTTGATATTAAATCAAAAAGTTAGAACATTTAAGCAAAATTTTTAAAACAGTTTTTATGACACAGCAAGGTCTTGTTGCTATCAACAAAACTCAACTTATACTTAAAAAAAAAAAAAAAAAGAAGAGTTCAAAGTATTATGATGTCATTAAGTGTTAGATCTCATGCAAACATCTTTATTTGGCACTACATGTGCCCCATTACTAGAAAAGATCCTCAGTTTCAAATTTTTAGTTTTCCTACCAGTTTTTATGCAGAGCTATTTCCTTGCTATTGCTCAGTTATTACCCTGAGTATAACCATCGTGCACACAGGAAGACAGAAAATTCAACAAAGCTTTATTTGTTCACTACCAGTGGATTACAGCTAAAATTAAAATGTACAAGTTAAGAAATTCAATTAACTAATTGACAATAATATTAAAAAAGTAAGCAACTTGCTAAGTAGTATTATAACTGCCAAAATAAATTTCTCTCAAATAACTTAATATTCAAATAAAATCATTAAACACACTGGAATAGAAAAAAAAGATATCTCCTACAATTACAGACTCAAACTAACTTCCCCAAGGCAACACAGAACCTCTACTAGCCATTATTTCGTTCACCTATTCAGCTCTTAAAACTCTCTTACAACTCTTTCTTACTTTCTGTTTTGACAGAATACACATGATTTCTACTAAAGAAAAAACAGAGCATTGATTAAATTAAGCTTAATTGTGAGTAAAACCCGAAAAATATTTGTCTCATGTGAACAGAATGGATAAGAAAGGTAGGAGGAGGTATTGGTCATTACAGCATTTCACCACCAGCACTTTATGTGGGCTGTTTTACAAAAACAGTTACGCTAAAGCTGTCATATCATCATTGGCATGACAGAAATGGAATCTCATGTGCTTACTTAATTAAAAATTAGTTGTGGAAGTTATAAGAAATGGATTTGATAGGAAATATGCCTTTAACAGGGTGACCACGGTCACCAACTGATGCAAATGTATAGCATGCTATTAATATTTGCTGCAATATAATACAGCTATTAATATTTGTTGTTAATATTATAAAACTGAACTGATTTATGGAATACCTAGTGTGATGATAAAATTACAGATAATTTAAAAAAGACATACACACAAACAAAAGAAGATAATAAGCAGTCAAAATAAGAAACATCAAATGAGAAGAGTTACTGTCGCTTTTGATAAAATCCCATCAAATAAATCTGCAACTTTAGACAGAGCAAATTTTAAATGACAAAAGGAAATTACACAAAATACTTTATCAAAAATGTTGTTAAACAAATATTACTGTATTTTTTATCAAAACTATATTATAAAAAAATTAGTATAATTTTACCTTTGTCTTCAGAGCTTTTAGGAGAATTTTTATCAATCCAGACCATGTGTACATGAAGAAAATGCTTCACCAATGTTTCAGAACATGTAGCTTTCTTATCGCACAAGAAACATTCAAGAAGTTTTATGCTCCCTTCATTGTTTCTAATGATTTCAAAATTTTGAGTATGTTTAGTGTCAACCAAATGTTTCTGTAAATAAAATTCAATCCATAATCAATATGAGAACAGAAAACACTAAGAGTAATTAAAAAGTGGGAAAAGAAAAAAAACATGCAAAGATTTAAAATTAACCATGCAATTTTACACCATACGGCCAGAAAATGGCAAAACTTCCATTTGTAATGAAAAAAATATGTCAAATTGGGGTTGTGGCAATGCCAAAAATATCCAGATGATCATTAATTGATCTAATCTGAAACGATATATGTAAATTTTCTTAAAAAAGTCTGTAGCAGAAGTATATAATACATGAGCTTGGATTTTTTTTTAAAATTATACTAAAGGCATGAGTGTATTATTAAGCATGTATTACTTGTATTGTGCTTTGAAATCACTTAGTTTTCTGTATGTTATATCTCGTTAAAATTAAAAAAATAAGTATTATGTGTGAATAGAATGGCAACATCTCTTAGAACTGGCAATTTTATAGGTAACAAAGAAGATCTGTGCAACATGTTTACATAATGTAATGCAGCAGAACAAGAAAAAAATTAATAGATTAAAATATAAACATTTCTAGTGGCAGTAGGAAATTAATTTAATGCACAAGATCAGCCAAACAGCTGCATTTTTTTTAAAACAAAGAACATTGCCATAAAATACATTTTGATTTGTCAGGTGGTGTTTGATGTGTTAATTCACAAATAGTAGTTAATGGAGTGTTTTATAACAAAAAAGGGGGGAGGAGGACAGTTTTATATCTCCCGTTCTACTCGGCCGATTGACGAAATTCAAACTGCGTTTTTGATGGCGTGCAACTTAGGATATACATTTATAGGTAGCATTATTATAATATAGGTATTCTGACACAAAACCGGACTTTTTTTTCTGAAATGACATGCCAATTTTTTTCCATATTTCGATTCCCCGACTCAAATTATACCTAAATATTAAATTTTGTACAATTTGGTACGAAATTCAAACATTTATTTTGCCACAATTTTTTCGGTTTGTGCCAACAATAATTCACTTGGCAAACTTCTTAATTTATAGCAACCTATTTTCCTTTCCATTTTTCCATTGTACACGAGCAGAAAAAGGTCATCACCCATACTTTCAAATAATTTTAACAAAGTGCATAGACTATATTTGGCGTTATTACCGCTTATAACAACTTCTAAAATGCGCCATTATGCAAATTCATGTATATCTTAGAAGCTTTTTTTGAAAAATTTATAAAAATTACTTAAAAATACAAAATGTAAAAATAAATCATAAAAAAAGAGTGAATTTTATTTAGAATAAACCTAAATTTTAAATAGTGAAAGGAGGAATCAAGTAAGATTAATAATAATAAAAAAAAAAAAAATAAAAAAAAGAGAGATATTAACAAATGTATATCAAATTTAATTAACATCGAGAAGCCTAAAGTTTGAGAGCTAATTTTTTTAAAAACTACTCATGTGATTTTTACAAAACTTGGCAGTTTGGCATAATTTAAGTGGCAGAATTTAAATACGAAAAAAAATATATATATGCCATTTCAGAAAAGTCCAATTATGTGTCAAAATACCTATATTAAAACAATACTATATATAAATCCTATATACCTTAAGTCGCACTTTTGAGACATGAAAAACACAAGTTGAATTTCGTCAAACGGTCTAGTAGAACGGGAGATATAGAACTGTCCCCTCTTTTTTGGCACAGTGCATGTGGTGTATACATATCTTTTTTTAATATCGTTATTGCCACTGGTAAAATTCATAAATAATAACTAGCTTTTTAAAGCAATCATTATACAAATAGCAACAATATATGTGTGAAAATAAGAATAAAAGCACATGCTACCAAGACAAAGAAAAAAATAAACTAACAAAAAAAGGTATACAGTCAAAAGTTGTTAATTTGGACACCCATAATCCGTACCTCAAAGCTACAAACTTTCTGCGCATGCATCACATCGACGTGCATAATTTACGGCTTACGGCTGCGCATAACACGTTTATGCAAGCGCGTTTAATGTATAACAAACGGTATACGCTAAAGTTATCTAATTATCTATTTCAGTTAATGTTGCAGATTGCGTTGTTCCTTAATCTTCAAATTGGATCCAGCTTATTTTTTGCAGATTGTTAGAGCAATTTTATAAAAGTAAGCTTGAACTTTCGATTATGTCAAATAGAATTTCCGATGCTGTAGCTCCCAAAGGATCTAAATCTAAAAAGCGAAAGTATGTTTCGCTGTCCATCAAACAAAAAGTGGATAAAGGCATGAAGAAAGTGACAGAGAGGTTAGTGAAAACGAAAATATTTCGATTGACAAGTTAGTCAGTATTCTCGGCACAGCAATTACAGGACTTGAACAGTGGAACTTTGTAACTGAACAAGAAATTATGTCTGCTTATATAGAATTAAAGGGAAAGTATTAGCACATAAAACAAAGCAACTTAAACAATTTACATTGAAAGAAATGTTTAATAAAGTAAACAAATAAATATTAAGCTTTTTTTTTGTAAATTTTAATACCCTTTAGATCATAATTGTTCTTTATTTCATAAATTACAGTTTCATATTTTTAATTTTATAATTTTTGCATGCCATCTTACCACCAGATTTAAACTGATGATCTATAATCTGGAATCGCCGAAGTTCCGACGAGTCCGGATTAACGACTTTTGACTGTATAAATAAAACAGCTTATTTTTGAACTATTCTCAAAATCTGCATATAATTCTGTTACTTAGAACTCTGGATTTAAAAATTGCATATGGTTTTATTATCCCGTATCAGATTATTATTTTTGGAAGTTTTGTTTTGGGGCTGGATCTACTCAAAATATTTTTAAAAAATTTCTTTTATTTCACACTAAAATTGTCTATATTGTTTAAGTCAGAATTTTGCATTTTTGGCACTGCTTACATTGGCCTGTAGAAGCTGAATTGATTAAAAAAAAAATAAATAAAATGTAGTCAAAAGTAATCTGATAAAGACATAGATTACTTTTGACTGCTTTTTAATTTTAAACTTTAATTGGAATCTTTGTAAGTTCATAGAAAGGAAGTTTGAATTTATTTCTTTCGTTACACCAATTACTTAATGACGATGCAGCAAAAGACACAAAAGTTCAGTTTCATTTTTGGCATATCCTGCCTTCATATTTCTTGCAGTTTTTCACTGTGCTTCTGTTTTTTGGTTTTCGCCTGTGGTTTCTTCCAAGTTGATTATAGGATGAATTTTAAATGTACTTTTAATTTAATTTATTTAATAATATATTACTTTATATGAGTCAGCTATTTATTTTTAGCCATAATTTTAATTGTGATGATAAAGTTCTTTTACGGAACAGCAACTTTCACTTCATTTGAAAACTGATCCTTGAAATAGTCTCTGAGAAAACAGCTTTTTTTCTCCTTTACTCTATACAATCAAATTCACGGTCTTATAAGAATTATAATAATAAATATTCAAATAAAAATATAAAATTGGTAACATTTTTGGAATAAGATTCTCCAAGACAGTTTAGACTGCCTTGGGTATTTTGACACATATTAGACTGACTGAATTAAATGTTAATATTCATAAAAAAGTTTGATAGCTGATGATTTCTTTTTAAAAATTTATTTACTTTATTTTAACAGCTTCTTTGAATACTTTCTGGAAGATTGAAAAGTAAACACTGTATAAAATGTACAATTCAAAACCTCAGATACAGGATTTTATCTGAGAGATTACCTTAATTTCTTTTTCCGACAAAAATGTAGCAGCACACTGAGTACATTTATATACACATAATGTCTTTCTCAAAAATGCTGGTTTCATATGTTCTACAGATTTTTTAGATGCACATGCAAACACATGAACAGTGAATTCTTTTGCAGTTCCAATTGGTTGAAGACATTTTGCACAGGACCACATTTCTGGACCTAGACATTACAATAAAGGAAAATGATTAAAGCAATAGAGGATCAGCCCATTCACTATGAAAATTTTCAGCACTTCATACAATAAAAAAGATACAAGTATTTTCCTTTTACGATTTGCACTTACATAAAATTGAATAAATATCAAACTTTCTGCGGTACTACTTTGGTAGACGGTTGCACGGATTTTTGGCGATTTACGTTGGCGCAATTTTTACAATCGTCAGCCATCTTGAAAAACGCTGTTTTTACGCATAGTAAAGTATTCGAAACTTTAAAAAAGTAAATATCGTTAAAAGTAAAGGATTAATTTTTTGTTGAAAATGTCGTTTTTTAAGATGGTAGGCAGGTGTAAATAAATACATTTACGAGGGATATCCCCCAAAAAAAGGTCTCCTATATATTTAGATATACAAAGAACCGTTTATTTTCTAATATTACTACATCACTTTAAAGATTGAAGAATGCTTCAACATAATCGCCATTTCGGTCAATGCATTTTTGTAGATGCTGTGGCAGTTTTACAATGCCCATGTCATACCAGCTTGCCGCCATGCCCTTCAGGAAGCGTTGAACCTCATCTTTCACCTCATCATCGAAGCAGAACCGCCGTCCAGACAAATGTTCCTTCAACTTAAGGAACAGGTGGAAATCGCTGAGTGCCAAGTCTGGACTGTAGGGTGGGTGTGTGATGATGTTCCAACCAAAATTTTCTCCACACCACTTGCAAACGTTTTTGACATCCATGCACAACTACTTCCGTCAATAGGCGGTGAATTTCAACCGGTTTAACGCCTTTTGCGTTCAAAAATCGAATAACTGCGCGCACATCGCACTTGGCGGTAATGTTTATCGGGAGCTCCATTTCGAATGGCTGCCAAGCCAAGACTGAGCATACGAGCATAGCGTCTGCATACTTATGTGATAGCGGAGAAGGCACCACTCACAACAGTGTTGCCAACAACCATATTAAAACTTTCTCTATGTCCCCAAAAAATAGGAGACCTTTTTTTTGGGGGATTGCCCTCATACTATGAGTATAAACTACTAAAGTAAGGTCATTATTACTTTCATATAACAAATAAAGAGAATAAAAACACTGCTATAAAAACATTATGCCAACGTTTAATTAGATTAAAATATTACTTAAATTGAATATCGAATTAAAAAACATTATACCATTATTTAAAAGATTTAAAATATTACTAACTTCAAATACTTTAAAATATGTTATATAGAATATAATTAACATTAAAACATATGTGACAATAATTATCTCAGCAATTTTTTAAAATAGAGTATTAATTTTTTTAACGAAAATTGAAGTATACAATTATAAAATAAAAGAAAAATATGTACTTACATTTTTTTTAGTCATTCAACCTGTCGTTTATTGACAAGTACCACAAAAAAAATCGGAATCATAATTTAAATATCAATGAAAAAAAATTGAAAAATGTAATATCAAGGGTAGGAATAAAAAAATTTTTTAAAAAATTCATAAATAGATAAAGCAATTTAGAGCCAAATTAATGGATCATAAAGATTAAAAATAATAATAATAAAAAAACTCCAATAATAGGTATTGTTTTTAAGATTTCGAAGATCCTTTAACCGCCCCTCCCTGAAGTACAAAGGACAATTTTTTTATTCGGATACCAATAACAACATTCATCTTTGAAGGAATTCGACGATATGAATTAAATTTTAAAATGGCACGGTAATGCACAAATTTTCAGTAACCAATCAGAGAGCTAATTACAGCTTGTTAATGCACAAATATTCTATAACTAATCAGAGAGCTGATTACATCACTCCTAGAATTAAAATTATTTAGACAACCATACATAATAAAATCATTTTTCAAAAAAAAAAATGCAAAATTAAATTGTATTTTAATATTTAACAGCCATAAATAATATTTAAAACATTAGATTAAATTTATAGATATTAAAACTAATAACTTATCCAGCAATGGGTTTACCATAAGTCGTATTACTCGCCAAAATCCGTGCAACCGTCTACCAAAGTAGCACCCTTTCTGGAAAGTAATAACTGCAGTTTGCAGCATGCATATTAATTTTATACAGGAGATCTAAAAAATAATTAAATGCAGGATTTTTCATTGTGACAGTATAAAATTTTATACGTCATTGCAACTTTTTTTTTTTTTTCCCATATACAAAGGTAGAATTTTAACTGATAACTGAAAAATAACTAAAAAAATTTCTACCTTACATAATTAAAGAGTTATGTTACACTTTCATTCATTCAAACCTTCTTTTCAAAAATTCAAACAGAATATTCAAATATAATATTTTAAATAATGAGATATCTTTTCTCCCCCTTTTGTAATGCATCTTACTCAGATTAAAAGTTTTCAATAATCAGATCGATGCCAAAATTGCTTTAGACACCTACTGAAGCTGTGAATCTAGGATAGGATAAAAGCATCTCATTCTTTATTTCCAACTACTTTTACTTCTGAAGCATATACTATGCAATAAAACTTTTTACCAATTTGCTGCACTTCCCATTGCGGTACTCATAATACGTAAAATTTTATACATAAAAGATTCAATGTTATTTTCACCTTTGAAAGATTAATTTTTATACAATGATAAAATTTTCAAATAAATACGGATTTTTCACTGAGACACTTTTTATGAGTTAATGTTTTGATTTTATTCATATTTCTAAATAACTAGTCTAATGCAATAAAATTAACCGTGTAAACATTAATAAAACAATCACGTATAATACTAAAAAAGAGATAAAAGCAACCAAGGGGAAAAATACACTTGGCTATTTATGATAAGCTGATACAGTAGGAAATTCTGCTCACACCACAGTAATTCCAGCAGCAATTATAACATAGATATTTCATACCTGAAGATTCAAGCTATTTCCTTATTTTGATAATACAAACTTCTTGAGAGTGTTTATTCTACTCTGTTAGTTTTACTGGCCTCAGGCAGAATTTTGCTGTTGTTGTTATGTTTAATCTCACTTATCTGATCTAATCAGAACAAGTCCATGAATTTTATAATGGCAAAGAGCACAAGATTGCATTTTTTGTTGGCATGGGCCTTGAGCACCATAGCGGTGACAGTACAACTCACCTATTTTGCTTTATGAGTCTCCCATCCACTATCAAACTATCAGAGATGACTTTTAGCTTGCCTGTATTTTGAGTGGCCCATGGTGCGAAGAACTATACATTTATACATATACATGCCTTAAATGGGATTCAAACATGGGCCTACTGATAAATCAGTTAGCATCACTACTATATCGTCTTCTTCCTGGTAAAACTGAATTTATGTTAACTCCTTGTATCCATAGTAAACATTATTGCTGCAACTGCTCAATATCCATTAATGATGTTTAATTTCATCGTACAGGAATTGGAATACTTTTGAAAATCTGACAATGTCTCAAGCACGATTTGGGGAGGAGGGATCCAATCATTTAGCAAATCTCACAGACCACAAGTTAACACATACTCTCAGGAAGAAGATACAACATAGTCCTTTACTGGCAAGTTATCACCATTTGACCAAAACTTAAAGAATTCTTTGTGTTAATCAATAAATAATTCTCACTATTACTCCAAATTACACAACAGGATAAAAATGGAAGTAAACAATAAATAATGAAAGAAGTAAATTTTTTTTTAGAATTTTAATAAATTTAAAATTTAAATAATTAAAAAAAGTATTACCTGTTTGAACTGAATGGGCCAATAAAATATGTTGATCTAAATTGTCTTTTCCATTCAAAAATAGTTGGCAAACAGGGCATTTCAGCTTTATTTTACTTCCTTTAATGGCAGCAGCAGTTGGAACAGCTGAAACCTGATTATGCTTCTGTTTCACATGAGCTTTTAAGCGATTTGCTCGCGATGTAATGAAAGTACAATATTTACACACATAAGTTTGCATACGATGCACATTTTTCATGTGAGTATGATGATCTGTAAAATTTTTGGACATCTCTGCACAGATGCTGCAAAAAAGTGATGTGCTTAATTCAGTCACCTGCTGTTCTTGCACAAGCCGGACAGTTTTATTATGTGAAGTTGGATAATGAGAACGAACTTCAGCCAAGTTTTTCAAGGTTATGTCACAAAATCTACAAACTGAATTAAGAGTAGTCTGTTCAGTAACATCAGGCGGCACACACACAAAAACAATATTTTCGCTGAATTCAGCTTTAAATGTCTGTGAAGCTAGTTCATGAACTGTACTATAATGTTTCTCCAGTTCCAAAAGAAAACGAAAAGTATTTTTGGTTGGACAAAGAAGACACTTATGACTTGAATCATTTGGTGAAATAACTTGACGGAATAAAAACATACCAATTAGTTTACTACTGTTCTCAGCTTCAGTCAATGGTAATTCACTTTGAACCAACTGTAATGTGTTTGGAAGTTTTAAAGTTCTGCTATCATCAACTGCATCCACAGTGCAATCCTCTAACGATACTTGAGGCACAGTTTTCTTTGGAGTTGTGGACTAAAATTAGATTTAAAACAACAGCATAAAAAACATCTTCTTGTTATTTTATGAAATTGTACAAAAAATGTAAAAAAAAAAAGTTGACAGATGAAAGTAATATTAAAAAATAAAATTTTAAGACCAATATTACTTAGTTGCATTTCATTAATTTAAGATACAAGTGAAAAAGGAATGCACTGTGAATTGTAATACAAAAACAAACAAAACACACACACAGGGAAAAAAGAGAGAGAGAGTGATCTCAATAAAATTTCAAATTATCTTCAATTTATATAAAGGGTATGTAATCCTAATTTTACACATAAAATTAAAGTATAAAATGTAATCTTAAACACAAAACATTCAATATAGAAATTTTTTATCATAAATGCTCAGTAACAAAACATGTTAATATTAAACACATTGGTTGAAATTTCTATATTTTTAGTCAAATGCATTAAGTACTGTAAAAATACACTGCCTAAATACAGTTTATGAACTCTCCACTAAATAAACACTGGATAGGGAGGGAACTTTTACACACATTTGTAATCTTTTGCATAGTAAAACTTTAGACACTTTTTAGAATAAATTAATTATTTAAAATTTAGTGCATTATTTAATATTAAAAACAGTAAGCAATTAACACTATAAATCACTTTTATTTTCATCTCTGACATTTATGATAAACACCTGTAAAGGATATCCACAAACTCCAAATTTATAAAAAATTTTCAAATAAATAAACTTTAAGAAAATGGGGACTACCTATTTTATTTTTTAATCAATGTTGAAAAGATTCCCTTAAATTCTCTGATAACAGCTTCTCAAAGATAAAATATTAATTAATAATAATATCTATTTTACGAGTTCTCACTTTATGCATGAACCTTAAAAATAAATTAATTTGTAAAAGTAAAATATTCTTATACACACAAAACTATACCAATTAGAGTGAATTTCAATTAGATCAATATGTAGTTATTACTATGGCTTCCATTATTTAAATGGTGGCAGGATTATCGATACATCACCAATTCTTGTTGCAAATCAAATGCCTGATATTTCTAACCATGATCATTTGTAGTCTGCTCACCATGAGAAGAGCGAATTAGCTATGTGTTACTGTATTTCTTCCCCCCTCATAAATATTAACAATTCTCTATCACTTCTAATTCAAGGGCAGGAGGAAACTGTGTTCTCTACATCTAATCCAACAACTAAATAAGTAAAAAGGTAGAGAACCTAAGAACGTTATGGAATACATGAAAATCTCTTCATATGGCAAAACAAAGCCAGTAGAATTCTTCTAAAACACAGGATATTTGGGAGATAAATTTGTGAACTTTCTCATTCAGGTTCTGAACAGAAAGCTGAATCATAGCAAAAACAAGAGGGATCAAAAATTTATTCAGACAGTTTGTGTGGGTATAAAACAGATGAATTAAAAAAGCAGGCTAGAGTAATTTTACTGGGAACTATAAATTTCATTTTGTTGATCCAACAACTGCTCATGCATAAAATATTGAGATTTTGGGGTTCACTAAATGGTTGTATAAAAAAAAAGAGGGAGTTACTGCTTACCATCAACAACAATCTTAGCTCGTGGAGTTTGTGTGGCAGAAGTCTTTGAGATGAGAAAATACTTTTCATGCTATATTACAAGCAAATTCAGAAATATGGCAGCAAAAATACACATGAACCTGGTTATAATCTCCACATTTAAAAAATAGAGGTCATGATAAAAAGAAGCAATGATCAATCAAATAAAATAATTTAACACTTGCTGACTGATCACCTATTAATTGGCTTTTTATTGGCAACATCTACCAACCGATAGCCTAGTAATCAGTTTTTTATCGCCAACACCTACCGATTATTATTGCCTATTAACCATTTTTTTTCTCGCCAATGGCTATTGACCAATGGCCTACTAATTGGCTTTTTTAAGCCACCGCCTACCGACCGATAGCCTATTCATCGCTTATTCCTTGAGGCTAGCTAAAAATAGCCTATCAATCGGTAGCCAATTGCCATCTGCTATATCATGTGTATTTTATTAGTAGTATTGAGGTACATTGGCTCACTTGCGTTAAGTGCACTGCTTCGAAAACTCCCACATTTTCACACCTTTTTAAAAAATTTACCTTTCACAATGAGCGAAAAAAATGGTACTGGAGAGTTTTATTAAGACGATTTATCAGATTGTCCTGACAGTTATTCAGAACAGGAAGAATCTGTGGCTGAGCGGCCGGTCGGACGTGTGTATGCTGTTGAACTGCTAGCGGTCGATAAAGTGTTAAAATTAATATTAAAAATCTCAAATAGTTTCATATTAACCTTCAATATAATAATTTCACTTACCGCAGCAGAATACTGGTTTGGATATCGCCATCAATTACCTCAATCATTTTCAATAATGCTTTTTTACATATTGCATTCATATAAATAATATATTTAATATATAACATATTTAAACAATAATTAAATTCACTTATTATTTATTATATATTTTAACGTATTTTGTTATAATGCATATTTTGCATAAGATACACAGATACTAAAATATTTTTTTTTAAAGTTGAAAAGTCAGCAAACACTGCAAACTTACCATAGTTTTAGCAGCTGGTTTTGGTTTCTCCTTTGGAGATTTCTTTGGAACTGCTTCAGGAGTAGTTTTAGACTGATTAGTATCATTTTTTGCAGTGCTGACTTCAACCATACTGCCATCAGGCATGACAACAAATACTCTCTCATTTGTGGCTTCTGAATCTTTACCACCAGTTGCTAAGGGTTTATTAGCAGCTGTGCCATTTGAAATGCCTGAAGCAACTTCATCAATAGTATTGATCTGATTAACAGGTACCTGGTTAGGTACTTTTGGTTTTAAGGGACGCACGAAATTCTTTCTGGCTCCCACTTTTGGAACAGAATCTGGAAGTTTTGGCTGCGCCGGTTTCTTTTCATTTTCACTCTTTTTCATACTCTGACGCAAACTTTCCCGTAATTCTGCCAATGTTTTCGAATCACCTCCACTAAACGAGTCATCAAGATCATCAAAAGATATATAATCTTCTTGATTTTTTTCCTGATTTATCAAATTTTCAATCTTTTCTTGATATGTCACTCTTTTCTTTTTGTCATATGCAATCTCAACCGGTTTTGCTACTTTTTGATTTACTTGTTTACTAGCCAATAAACTTTTCCCAGGTGTCAGAGTTTTTGGAGAATGCTTTTCTGTATCACTGATCTTGGCTTGTTTTTGCAATGAAATATTTTTAGATTTTGTTTCTACTGTCTTCATTTTCTTGTCTTTTTCCTTCAATTTAGAGACACGTCGTTTGACAATATCATCAAAAACAAGAGACTGAATACTTTCTTCATCTTCAGGTACAGGTACACCGAGATCAACAACAGGATTAAGATCACAATCTTTCAAAAATTTTATATCCTTTGCTTCGCCTTTCACTCTTATGAATTTTCCTTTCTCTTTAGGATCAGGAATTTCAATGATAACCTTCTTCTTTACTGGTTCAGGAGATGGTGATTTCGACCTAGATTCAGATTCTGATGCCACAATGCTAACGGGTAAATGAACAACTTCTGGACTCGGACGTCTTCCTTTTAGACACACAGTCTTAATGAAGTCCATAGCAGCCTTTTTACTCGATCGTCCTCGTTTTGCATCTAATGCAGTGGCTGGAGAAAACATCCTAGATGCACGACTTTCATCTTGACTTGAATCATCACTTGATTCCTACAATAGACAAGGACAAAAATCATAACTATTATGTAATTATAATGATATATAATATTCCTGTAAAGCTATAAAATTTAAAAAATTCAAATTCAATAACACATTTATAACAGTTTAATGCGCTTCACTTCATTCCTCTTGGGTGGGGGAATTGCAATATTAAAATTACTTTTCCTTTTATTAAAAACACGTACACATCATTTATAAGCATAATCACATATTCAAGAAATTATAATAACTTTTTATGTGGGTTCTAAGAAGCTTAAAAATTTTTATGAAATGAAAATGCTATACCATTTAATCATAATCCTACAACCATTCTTTAAATTTTAGTTATTTTTTGTAGCAAAAATTATTTAATAACAATATTGATAATAAAATTATTATTGTTATGGGATGATGGTAGTGGGGATTCTTATGATTACTGGGATGGTGAGTCATATTTTTATGAAAGTTTTAAGTTTTTAGAATTTACTACTTTCAGTTGAAGATATGAAAGCAGATCCTATTGATATTATGTATTTAAAGCCTTATCCTCAAATTTTGTCCATCTCTCCATCATTTTGTTCATGATGGCATGTTCATTCTTGTGATTTTTGATTTATTTTATTTTAAAGAGATAAAATTTAGTAAAATAGCACATCTTCTTTTTTGTTTTTGAAATATAAAGAAATGATCTGCTATGTCCTTCCAAAATATGTAACAATTCTCTAAAATGAATGCAAGTTTGCCAAACCTTAGGTATATTGAGTTCTTTTCTACACAACATTATATAATAAAATATACAATATCTAGAACTCTGAACATTTCACTGTTTTCCTTACAAAACTAGTTTAATGTCATCAGGCAAGTTCAGAAAATAGATAAACAATTTTTTTAAATGCACAATTTTTGCACATAAGTGAAGTATTTTAAAATCCAAAGGGAAAATTACACAAAGCATACAGCATTTGCCATTAAACGAAATTTAAGGAAAATGCTACTTACAGTGTAATAAAACTTTTTTCTCTTTCTTACAGTTGGAACTATTTGCTGTGGTCGCTTAGATACAAGCTGATTATGACGCTTTTCAAATTCTGCAAGCAAAGCTGGACTTAAAATATTTTCTTTTGGCTCCCATGTGTTTTCAGAGCTATTGTAAATTATCAGAAATTCATTTATTAAATTAATATAAACTGTAATTATACATTTAATATAAACTATAACTTAAAACATTTAATTACAACATTATCTTTCTTAAATGCTTTTAACAAAAGATAATCTATTCAGAATTTAAATACTTCGACCATATATGGAATAAAATGCAAATAATTTGTCACAACAAATAAATGGGCTGAATATATTGTATTTTCAAAGATTTCCCATGAAAACTTAAAATCAAGATAAAGATGACAAAATATATGCCAGCCAGAATCATGGTATACAAAAATTAAATGTAATCATATATTCAGATATATTGGGTCAATCCATAATTTCGTGCACATTTTTTGGTAAATTTTTAAATAATATAAAAAAACACAATTTAACATTTTAATCAATTATAGATTTTCCTCCATTATCTACAATGTCTCGCCATCTTACAGGCAGCTTTTTTATGCCATTGCTGTAGAAAGACTCTGGTTTTGATGCAAAAAAACTTGAAAGTTCACTGTGTACATCCTGTTTAGAATTTAATTTTTTCACCAGTAAAAAAAATTGTAAGGCACAAAATAAGTGAAAATCACTTCGGGCAATATCTGGGGAGTAAGCAGTTAAATTCATTAATTTTTTGCAGCTTTTTTCAAGCCGTATGCGGTCTAGCATTATCATGATGAAAAAACACTTTCTTGATATTCACCAATCGTGAGCGTTTTTTGATCAATTCTGAGTTAAGACAGCAAAGTTTTCACTATAAACTTCTGAATTAATCGTTTGATTTGTTTCTAACAGTTCAAAATATTACACCATAACACATCCCACCAAACACTTAAAAATCACACCACACTAACTTTAAATTATTTAAACCATTTCTGTGCAGTCCTTACACTAATAGTGTATTCACCATGTACACTATTAATTTTTATCGCTGCAAACCTGGCAGATTCACCACACGAAAATAAAAAATGTAGCACAGCATGTTTGTACTGATTATCCATATTCATTTTCTATGTATACTAAAATGCATTTGATATTTACAAAAGTTGGTGATGAACTGAATAATAAGTCAAACAATGACAAGTTTCAACAGGTTCAAATTTGTATTGCTTTAGTAAATGCATCATAGTGAATTCAACACATACTCTTAATGCACACGAACTTATGGACTAACCTAATATAATGAGCATTTTTAACATACTTTACCTAGGATAACCTTTCCACTTGATCAAGTACTCAAAACGACCATGTCGAAAACGTTTAGCAAGAATTTTTTCCACTTTAAAAATTTCTTCATCCTAATCATAAAGAAAATATGATTGTGATATCAGCAATTTGCATTTCATTTTAAGAATAAGAGTAATAATTTATAAATAGCTTACCGCTTCAGCTGTACATTCTCTTAACATACATACATCATCAATATCAGGATCTTCCAATTTCCTCTTTTTTGAAAAGATGAGAGTGGAAATCAAATTAAAAATTACAAAATAATGTAATAATAATAAAATACACAATCTTACAATATTAATCATCTATTTAAAACAAAGCATTTTTCTTGAATTCTGAATAACTTTTTGGGGAGAGGAATAGATTTGTGAAAAGCATTTTAAATTCAACTCAATTTTTAACTACTCTTGATATTTATGCATAAAACAAACATGTTACTTGAACCAAAAATAATAATAATAAACTCACCCACTAATTTAAAAAATGGACAGCAAAATCAGGCAAATGAAAAATTTTGATGAGAATATTTTACATCACATGCACAGAATACATCACAGCATAAGTAAAATAATATAGACTACTAAATACAGTATAAAGCCTGAGATCCTGACTCGCCAGGATTTTGGCGACTATGGATATTAGATCATTAGTTAATATCTAGTATGATGACATCTAGAAATTATATGATTAAAAATATAAAATACAGTACAAAGTCCGTAATCTGGACGTCCATTATCCGGAATTATCTATAATCCGGACCTCAAAGACACAAACTTACGCATGCGTATAAAGCGTTTATATATGCGCTCTTCCGATAGTGAAGAAAGTGACAGGGAGGTTATTGAAAACGAAAAAATTTTGATTGACAACTTAGTCGATATTCTCGACACATCAATTACAGGATTTGAACAGTGGAATTTGTAACAGAACAAGAAATTACGTCTGTTTATAGAAGAAAGAATTAAAGAGAAAGTATTAGCATAAAAAACAAAGCAACTTAAACAACTTACATTGAAAGAAATGCTTAATAAAGTAGACAAATTTTTTTTTTTTTTTTAATTTTGATACTCTTTAGATCATAACTGCTCTTTATTTCATAAATTACGGTTTCATATTTTTATAATTTCTGCATGCCATCTTACCAGATTTAAATTGATGATCCATAATCCGGAAAAACCCCTAATCCAGAAACCCCCAAGTCCCGACGAGTTCGGATTACGGCTTTGTACTGTAGTGGTTTATAAAATAATGAAGCATTTATGACACACAAGTTACTTAATTTGCTTTGTTTTTGTGCTAATATGTTCTCTTTTACTAATTCCTTATAAAATAATGCTCTGTTCAGTTCCGCTGTTCAAGTGTTGCAACTGCCGCATCAAGAATTTCTGCTAAATAATTAAACGAAAATTTTTCATGCTCAACAACTTCTCTGTCACTTTCTTCACTAAAGGGATTGTTATTTTCTGGAGTTAGAACAAACAATACTACAGATTTCAATGTTAATTAATTGGTGACTGGAGCATTGTGATTGCAAACAACTTTTGTTATAGCATCTTTATTTATTACCACTCCTCCACATTTCTTCAATTAGGAAATTTCGCTTTTTGTTTGTAATATTTGAACACTTCCAACTTCATGGCAATTATCATAAAGCTTAGCTAGCATTCGCTATACACTATTGGATATGTATCATGCGACTGGCAACTTCACCTAAATTTTATCTTCTTTCTATCATACATACACTAATGAAGTCTGAACTATATTAGATATTATATTTATGCCTATTTTCCACATATGCTTAAGGCTTAGTTCAATTCCAAATAAATAAATTCCAACACTAATTAAGACTTATCCGGGCTGCAGCTAGACATTTCATGGCTAGTGTACTTCTACAGGTCCAAAATTCTGCTGCCAAGTGCCTCCCTAAATTCTAAATATTATGCCACTCCCACATTTTGCATCCCAGTGCCTTCCATAAATCCTCAAGATTTGGCCACCTCTTAATTTTTTTGCTGCTTAGTGCTTCTGTAAATTCTAAAAGTTTTGTTTCTTCTAAATTCTGGTGCCCAGTGTAGTCACATCAGCTCAGACACTGGTTCTGGACTTATTTGAATAATAAATCAATTATTCTCAGCGTAAAGTACACTAAATGTAATATTTTGGCCTAAGAATATCAGCTATTAAATCTATGCTGAGCATATGTCAGTGCTAAACTGAAATTAAGAATCGGGATCCCTCCACAAATTTTAGCATGAAAAATTCACAAGCATAAAGGATTTTTTTTTTTTTTTTAAAGGAAGTTTTTGGTGATCTACAGGTCAATTTTAGATCTTTCCAGATATGGGTATTGGTGTGTGGATTTCGGACTTTGTACAGTATAATAATTATAAAATTAGTTAGATCTATGCAAATTTCAGTCTTTCATACATAGTCAATTGTATCTACATTGCATATTCTAACTATGTTCCTTTCTTTATAATTTTGAACAGAAATAGTAAAAGCAGGAAACTAAAATGAATTTATGATGAAATACACCCACATAAATTATTATTATTTTTAAATAGGAATAGCAAAAGCGTTCTAAAAACTTGCTTCTTTAAATACAACATACCATCACACAACACTTTTTTGTAACTGCATTCACTGGAAGATTTAAAATAAAACTTTTCAAGTTCCTTACTTTTAAAAAGGCAACATTTAGTTGGCATTCATAATACACTATCCGGTAACAAAAAATAAGATAAATAATTTTTATACTTGCTGTTAAGTTAGACACCTATTGAATAGGGAGAAAACCTCTCACTTGAGCATCTGGATTCGGCTAAGCAACATGCCAGAGCATGTATTAGATCTGAATTTAGTTAATTACTGTCAATAAATAAGTTAGTTCTTTTGCTATACAGTCCACTCATTAGTTTAGAACAAAGTACATGGTCAGCAAAGCCGGAGAAAAGAACAAAATGCTGGCATTATATAGAAATAAAACTTTGTTAAAAGCGAAACTAACTAGATTAAAAAATGTAGTGGAGGAATATGATGATAGTTCGAATAAGAATGAAATTCAGTATATATCCCTTCAAACTATTCAAATGGATATTAGAAACTTAAGGAATAGATATTTCGAAAGCGTTGATGAAAAAGATGTCACAGCGATTGATGAAGAAATCGCCGAAATGTAAGAAAGAACTGAAGTTCTAGAGGTAAGAATTATGGAAATTCTATCATCTATTGCTCATTCTGAACATGAAAATGACTGTAAGAAATTTGACCCTAAAGTATGTTTGCCAGAATTACCAATTCCTAAATTTTCTGGTAAATATACCGAATGGAATAATTTTAAGCTTTAATTCGAAAACATCATAGCAAATAACATTCAATTGACAGAAGTTCAGAAACTCTACTATTTAAAGGCTGCATTAACTGATGAGCAAAAATCTGAACGTTGATGATACTTTCAATTCTCTATTTAAAGCTCTTCAAGATAGTTATGAAAATAAAAGAATATTAATTGAGACGCATATACGTACTTTAACATTCGGATCGTCTAAACGAATAGGTATGTAAGGTATGTAATAGATAATGTTACTAAAAACGTTACGGCTTTGAATGTTTTAAAGTATGAAAAAAAATAATTTATCAGATATCCTGTTATTAAATATCGTAGTTCAGAAACTACATTTTGAAACGCGCACACAATTTGAACTAAGCATTAATGCTAGGGAAGTTCCTACGTTTGATGAATTAATTTCGTTTTTAGAGAAAAGATGTCAAATATTGGATAACATTAACAGTAATGCTAATAAAGTGAAATATCCGTTAGAAAAAAAGTTTGAAATCAAAGGCTCTGATGGTAAAAACCAATAGTGTTTCGATTTGTGTTATATGTAAAAATAATAATCATCCACTGCATAAATGTGATTCATTTTGAATTAAATCAAATCAAGATATGAATAGTTAAAACCATAAACTGTATCTAAATTGTTTCAGTAATGAACATTTAATCGCAAAATGCAATTCTAAGTTCAGATGTTCGGAATGCCATAAAAAACACCATTCATTAATACATCGCCTGCTCAGAAATGGGTTATCGAACATAAGTTAGACAAAACAAAAACGGAAGCAGCAAGTGACGAAATCATAAACAAGAACGCAGATGTCTCTAATAAAAATCAATCAAGTTATCTTTTGACACGCAGAAAAAAGGTCTTATTGGCGACTGCAATAATATATGTTTGCAATTCAGGAGGAAAAAGAATCCCAGTTCGCGCTTTGAGTGAAGAAGAAAAATACTGTGAAGAACATTTCAAGCGTACACACTATAGATAAAATAATGGAAGATACGCAGTTGAGTTACCCATAAGGGAAGGTGAAGAATTAGGAGAATCGAAACCCACGCTGACAATTTTGGCTGCAGTCTCCACTTCATTGCTGAACGTGGCCAACCAACAGGATACCGTATGCCTTGAGGGTGCTTTGTTCATGTACACCAACACCACGCGGTGATGGATCTTACTACCCTGTATCCCTTCGTTCCATACGAACCACGCGGTTCAACACTGACCGTGATAATCACCTTCCATCATTGCTGTCCACAATCTTAATGACGATGGCGGAAGGGACAGGCACTGACTTACACCGTTTGCTTGCGGCCAGATCCATCTATGCATTCTGAGTAGCTCATGCCCCCTTGTGTCTATTTTCCTTTTGCACAGAGTAATAGCTTTGCTGTGAGAACCGTTGTGTCAATTATTTCTATACAAACCACGCAATTTTGTTTCTAGAGAAAAGATGTCAATTATTGGATAACATTGACTGTAATACTAATAAAGTGAAATATCCATTAGAAAAAAGTTCAAAATCAAAGGCTCTGACGGTTAAAACCGATAGTGTTTTGACTTGTATGATATGTAAAAATAATAATCATTCACTTCATAACATGATTCATTTTTAAAATTAAATCCAATTCAAAGATATGAAATAGTTAAAAACTATAAATTTTGTTTAAACTGTCTCAGTTGGGAACATTTAATAGCAAAATGTAATTCTAAGTTCAGATGTTCTGAATGTCAAAAAAACACCATTCATCAATCTATCGCCTGCTCAGAAATGACCTTATTGATCAACAGTTAGATAAAACAAAAACGGAAGCAATCAATGACAAAATTATAAAAAAGAATGCAGATGGCTCTAATAAAAATCAATCAAGTTGTCTTTTGACAGGAGAAAAAATGTGCTATTAGCGACTGCAATAGCATATGTTTGTAATTCAAAGGGAAAAAGAATTCCAGTTCCCGCAATACTTAATAATGGCAGTATGAGTTGTTTGCTATGTGAAGGAGTTGCCAATTTGCTAAATATAAAGAAAGAATTTACGCATCTGTATCCGGAATAAATGAGAACGTTATAAATATTAATTACGAACTAGATGTACAGATTTTGAATAAGGATTTAACGTACTTACCTACTTAAGTTAACTACTTGGTTATTTCTAAAATAGCCAATGTAATACCATCAATGACTTTACATGTGCAGTCATTAAATATTCCCATTGATACTGAATTTGAGTATCTGTAATTTGGAACAACTAACAAAATAGATACTAGGGGCCAAATTGTTCTTTGAGATTTTAAAACAAAGAAAATTTCAAGTAGAAAAACAACCATTGATATTCTAAGAAACAGTTTTTGGGTATATCACATCTGGTACATGCAAGAGTAACTCAGAAGTAAATTATTGTGGCTTAGTTCTGAAATAGTGAAGAAAGGGTTGACGAAATTTTGCAAAGATTTTGGGAAGTTGAATCCATTGAAAATATAAAGGATGTTTTGAGAGAAAAAGAAATATACTGTGAAGAACATTTCAAGCATATTCACGATAGACAATTGATGGAAGATATGTAGTTCAGTTACCCCTTAAGAAGATGTAGAATTAGGAGAATCAAAAACGCTGGCTGAGAAAAGATTGCATCAAGTGTGGAATTGACTAGAAAGCGATTCGAATATGAAAACATTATATAAGAATTTTATCAAGGAATATAAGGATCTAAATCACATGGAAGAAGTTCAAGAAATTGAAACATTGACTTGCAATTATCTTAGTCATCATGGAGTTTATCGACCAGAGAAAACCTCCACCAAGCTTCGCGTTGCGTTTAATGCATCAGCGGCTACTAGCAATGGAAAATCACTTAATCGAATATTAATGAAAAAGCGAATACCTCAAGAAGATTTATTTTCTGTTATTATTAGATTTCGAAAGTACAACTATGCATTAGGAGCTGATGTTCAGAAGATGTACAGACAAATACTTCTTGAACCATCTCAACGAAACCTGCAGTTGATCTTGTGGAAAGAATCAGTTGGTAGTCCTGTGCAGACTTATCGTCTAAGGACTGTAACATATGGAACAGCAAGTGCACCATTCCTCGCAACAAGGGTGTTGAAGCAGTTAGCAATGGATGAAGCAACTGACTTTGCTTATGCCTCAAGAGCCATATTGAAGGACTGTTACGTGGGCGACATTATCACTGGAGCTAATATGCTGCAAGCCAAGGAGTTGCAGACACAGTTAACCTGGCTTCTAGAATGTGGTGGAATGCAGTTACACAAATGGTGTTCAAATAATCCAGAATTATTGAAGAATAAAGAAAGTGCTACTCAGGATTACTGCCTTTCAAGTTACGGATAAGCCTCAGATTACAAAGGCCTTTGGAATGTCATGGAATATGTCTACAGACTGTTTTTCTTACGATTTAAAGATACCAGACTTTGAAGAAACAGGAACGAAAAGAGATGTCTTATCAACAATAGGTCGCCTCTTTGAACCGTTAGGTTTAATTGGACATGTTACGACAAAAGGTAAAATATTTCTACAAAAACTTTGGCTTCTAAAATTAAATTAAATACACCTCTTCCTAAAAATTACTTTGAAGAATGGAAGGCATTTCTGCATAGTCTCAAAATAGTCAACGAGTATCGCATCCCTACATTTGTTCTATCCAACGGATTACAACAAATAGAAATTATAGGATTCTGTAATGCTAGTCAGAAAGCCTATTGTGATACTTTGTGGTGCAGTTCTGTTGGTAAAACTAATGAAAAGAATATTAGAGGCCAGCTGCCTATAGTGAAGGTGTATTATTTCGCTGATTCGTCAATAGTGTTAGCATGGATTAAGAAGGAACCTTATCAACTAAAGACATTTGTTGCTAATAGAGTATCTGTTATTCGCAGCATGACTGCTGTTCATGAGTGGTACCATGTCAGCACTCACAATAATCCAACTGATTTGATATCACGTGGAGCTGAACCTAAAGATCTTCTTCATAATGATTTATGGTGGTACGGACCAACTTTCTTGACTACGGAGAGGTTTTTTACTAATCCTTGTGAAGTAATTTCATCTGATATGGATGATGTGGAATATGTTAAAGATCTCAAACTTAAGGATAATGACTTAGTTAATTTAAATGTGAACTCTAATTCCCTTATTTTAGATCATATTCTTAACATTAGTAATAACTATATTCATATTATTCTTGTGTTAAGTTTTGTTTGTAGATTTATAACCAATTGTAAGGGAAAAAAATTAATAGGTTCTCTAACAGTTAAAGAATTGGATGACGCTGAGAAAATCAAGATCAGGTATGTACAGTTACAGCAATTTAGCAAGGATATTCTATCCTTAAAAAATAAGAATTGTGTTTCTTCCAAAAGTAAGTTAAAATTTTTATGTCCATTTTTAGATAATGGTTCTCTTCTGAGAATAGGAGGCAGACTTGCCAATAGTAATCTTAATTACAACCAAAAGTTTCCTTATGTAATACCAAAAGATCATGTATTTACTAGACTAATTTTTCAGTATTACCATGTTAAATATTTACATCTTGGCGCTCAAGCACTATTGCATCAGGGTTCGTAGTAAATTTTGGGTTATTAATGGTCGAGATATAGCTCGAAAGGTTGTACATGTGTACATGAATGTAAACATGTTTTAAGGTTAAACCAATTGTATGTGAACAACTTATGGGAAATTTACCTGGTGAAAGAGTTAACCCAGGGTTTGTATTTAATACGTGTGGACTCGATTTTTCTGGTCCATTCCTCATTAAGTATAAAAATCAGAGAAAGGATAATTATGCAAAAGTGTACGTTGCTATATTCATATGTTTAGCTACTAAAGCCGTACACTTAGAGGTAGTAACTGATTTAATCACAGATTCATTACTTGCTACTATTAAAAGATTTGTTGCTAGACGTGGAAAATGTAATACCATAATGTCAGATAACGGTACTAATATAACCACATTAGTGCAAAATCAGAACTGAAAAAATTGCATAGTTTAGTCCTTAAATCTAATTCTGACATAGTAGATTTCTTAACATCTGAAGGTATAAATAAATTGGAAACTAATTCCACCTAGAGCACCAAATTTCGATGGTTTATGGGAAGCAGGTATTAAGTTATTTAAATATCATCTTCAGCGTACAATCGGCAGTTATAAATTAACTTTAGAAGAATTTTGAACTGTTGTCACACAGATTGAAGGTATCCTTAGTTTAAAATAAGATCTTTCTAATGGTATTTTTATTAAGTTTCAATCCACTGATAAAGAGGAAGAGGGGAAAGTCTTTAAAATCACATTACTCAAATAAAATAATCTATTACTTACAAGACACACTTCACATTCCATGCAATCTTCCACACGTGAACAACCAGCACATCTTCCACATTGTGTTTCTGCTCTCATGTGTACAGAATCCTCACTGTCTGAGGATTCTTCTACATGTTCAAAAGAACCTTCATCATCAGACTGATATTGCGCAACAGGTTTTCTCTTGGCATGCATGAGCTGTCGTCGCTTCTGCTCTTTTAACTGTTCCTGCATGATACGTTTCTGTAATAAAGAAAATTAAACATGTGAATTCAAAGCAAAATAACTACAAAATAGAAATAAAAAAATAGCATTCCCTACTCTTCTCATTCTGTTTCACTGCCTAGAAGCAATTCCTATACCAATATATTTCCCTAGTTCCTACTTCAAGAACTTTCTATACTATTTACAGCATTATTTAAGACCTGCAGCACTAAACTAAATGTCATAAAAATAATCAAGAACCAAAAAAATATTGTTAGTATCATGTTTACAAACATCATTACATGGTTCTTGAAGCAGATGCTTAAAACAGTTCAATTCATTATAACATTAAAATAGTACAGCTTGCACAAGATTTAATTTTATGCTGATATTACCTCTATGCTTTTTCTCCCATTACAAGCAGTGCAATATACTATCTGTAGATATTTATATTACAATATTCTAGCTAAATTTATCTCTTCATAAATAATTCAGGTTTATTTTACGATAGTAGGGAACCATATACTCTACTTCAGTGATTCTCAAACGGTGGTATGTGTACTACTGGTGGTACAGAAGAAAAAATAAGTGGTACACAAAGAAACAAAGAATTTTTAACAATTAAATTTTAAAAAAATCTCCTGAAGAAAAAGAACAACTGATAAATATTTCCTATCATTGAACTCTAACTGAAGATTTTAAAAATTGCATACTTGATAACTTTTGGTTGAACCGAAAAAAATCATTTGAAAGCACTACAAATAAAGCTATCAAATTTTATAGCCCTTTTGCAGAACCTATTTGTGTGAACAAGGCTTTTCTTACATGTTATATTTGAAAAATACAGAACAAAATTAAAAGTGGATCCTAATTTAAAGTTAAGTGAAATTAGGACCAGCCATAAAGAAATTGATCTTTCTTAAACAGGCCCAAATTTCACACTAAAGTTTAAAACTAAAGTATTATAACTTAATCTTGGTAATTTAAATGGTAACCAATTTTAATCTAATATTCTTAATGTGTGCATATTTAATACAAATAGCCAATAGTTTGTGCAAATGGCAATATATATATATATTACTATTTATATTGAGAAATTGAAAATTGGTGGTATTTAAGTTTTTCAATTTTTGTTTAGATGGTACGTGTTAGTCAAAAAGTTGAGAACTACTGCTCTACTTATATATTTTATACACCAAAAACATACCAGAGTGTTATGTTCACCTCTTTGTGGAATAGGTTGGAAATCGAAACTTTACAAATAAATATCATAAATATTTTACTTTTGCTCACCCGTACAAACTGGAAACACAACTCACTTTTATCTTCAGACCACAATTACAATAAAAATTATCGCATGTTGCCACATCTCTGAAACACAATCACAGAAAACTTCATTCATTTAAAAGTAGAAATAAATTATTTTTAGCTTTATACGAATAGCAGGAGCGTGCTCTTTTGGCGAGCAATGGTTGGCATAACACCGAGTTTTTATACTTCTACATCACATGGTTCTACTAACTGGATAAATCTCAAAAAGATTTTGCGGTATGGTCCATAAAAATCATATAAATATTATTGGAACCCACATGCTTAAATTTATTTTCTATCAAAATATAAAAAATATCACAAACCTCAAGAATGGTACTAGTTACTCATAGCAATTGCTCTTTTATGCTTTAATATGCATTATTTATTAACTGCTTGAAATGCTATCAGCAATTAATTATTGCCTGTTAGTTTTAAAACATTTATTTTCTTTGATCACTTATATCCATTACTGTCATTATGGAAATATTTATTTTTTATTCAAATAAAATTCCCAATTATTTCGATAATTTACCTCAATTTCATGACCTAATTGAAAGGTGCTATACCCTACTTTTCTCATGGAACAGACGCAAATAAGACAAAACTTTTGAATAATCATCACAAAAGAAAAATTCTTTAAAATGGCCAAAAATCATAAGAAAAATTAGCGACCCTACAAATATTTTACAAAAATACTGTAGTGATGAACATCTCAAGTTATAACTAGAAATTTTTTTGTTGCAATAGAATGCAATGCACCATGAGATATAAAAGCTGACTGGAAATTAGTTCCCCCTCTAAATAAATAATAATAAAAACCTCCATAATATGCCAGATCTATTTAATCAAATAGGCAGTCTCCTGGACACGGATGTGTGAACTTCTCTTAATTTCCTAAAAGAATGATTCTGAGATTTAAAAATACAAAAGAAATAAGATACTACTTATAACTCCTCCCCCCCCAAAAAAAACTAGTAGCATGTTTATTCCCAGCATGCCTATACTCAAGTTCACTGAGGTTAAGATCGATTCCAAGACTTTCTAATTAGATTTTTGCCTGTTATTATTATTGGTCATACTTCATTTTGGAAATCAAGTACATAAAGGTACATAGTAGCCAAATCTGAAGTTAAAAAAAGGGGGAAGGGGGAGACAAAAGTCCCGAGAAACCGGGAGGTGACCACACTGCATGGCAATGTGATTTCAAGAGATTGCCAAAAGGATTTAATTCCCACCATAATGCATTATTTCAGTTACTGAACTATTTATTAAATGAGTCCAATGCAAAATATGCTAGTATTTAAGTGTTGTTCTTTAACAAATGCCTCAAGAGAAATTGGCTATTCAGATTCATTTTATAGTTTGATAGGTGAAAAGACACAATGTTGACAACAGCAAAGTCAGAACATAAAAATTAAAACCTGGCAGATATTAAATTATTACATAACAGCAATCTTCATATAGAAGAAAAATAACATAAATGTGATTTGAGCATTTTTGATTTTACTTGTAATATTTTGTGATTTGATCTAAGATGTCTTTAAATGCTTTCTAGCAACAAAAAATAAATAACTCTAGCCTCATACAGAAAATTTACATTTTAAATGCACGGACAGAACTATGTTGAGTTGTTAAACAAAATGAGATCCTCATTTGTATACAACAGTATATATATAATAATTTAAAAACTGTAATACCTTCCATAGATATCCTGTTACACCTTTTAATTTTGGTGTATCTCTCTCCATTAAAAGAACTTTAGATTTCTTTGAAGGTGGTGGTTTAGAGGTAGGAGTTTTCCTTTTAAGAGACTGAGGTGGCTTCTTTTTCATTTTTTCTGTTTCTTTACTAAATTTATTTGTACCCTTTATTTCAACAGATGCCTTCTTAGCTAAAATAAAGATATTCTGAATAATTTTTCTGGCATATAAAAAATATCACAAAATACTATTTCTTTAATAACTGCAGTCCCTTCCGACTCAAAATATAAAGCTGAACATTTTTAATGCTACATAATTTCTGCTTCACTAACAACAACATTCAAAGGATAATGTTGAATTAATATTTTAATACTTCATGAAGGATGACAATATTAACACTTTATTTCAATTTTGTACAATTCATTATTTTCATATCAACTGCTTGCAATAGTGCCCAACAGTTTTTTAATAAAGTAAAATTTCAATGTAATTTTCCGAGTTTTAATTTTTGAAGAATTTTCCTAATTTATGTTTTTCTTTAGGACACAAACATTCATATATACTTTATGTAATTGTTTTAATTCTCAGTGGCATGGTGTGCTCTATCTAGGCTCACCTAAAAATTTCCCTCTCACACAGCACAAACCAGCCTATATATTTTAGTCATGCTTAGTTTTTTAGAAAATCTTTTTTTTTTAAATATATATATATATATAAAAGGAATTGTTTGAAAAGAAATTTCTATGTTATTTTCTTGGCTATATGGTAATTTAGTTTTAAATTTTTACTTTGAAATCTTGCCTAAAATCAAACTGCGAACATCACGTGTGCACCTGTTCGCAGTTTGATCTCAGTGATTCGCAGATCACTGAGACACTAGGACCAGCCCAACATCTGTATTTTTGCTTCACTGCAGCCCTCTGGTGGGCTCATTCATAATAGAAAGGTGCGGCTCCACATCTGTGTTTCATTTCCCGTTTCTCTTTCTTTCTTTTTTTTGGAAGGGACGTCTGGTTATCAGCTAAGAAATTGTGAGGGTGATTTTTCTGAAGGTCAAACCTGTTTGGTTTTTCACTAGAGCAGTTATATTTTTCTCTTTCACTTTCATTCAAAGAAGTTTCATTAGCACTACGTTCTTAGTTTTGAGTTGTAGACGTTTATGTAATTTTACTTTAGTTTAAATTTTCTAATTGTAGATATAACATTAGTAAACTTTTTCTGATTTTGATTTATTTTGCAAATGGATCGAAGAGGGCTGACCATTTCTGAATCACTGAAAGTGCTATATGAGTTGCCTTCAGATAGTGAATGTACGGATCCTGGTACATGTGCAAAACATGCAATGTTGGGTTATGTTTTTTCAAAGGTGGTGTCATTTTCTTCAAAAGGTACCACAATGACAGGGGGGAAGATGAAAGTGTAGATATGAAATATAAATAGCATATACCCAAGTTACTTTCCCTCCCTTATATGCATGTGATCATTATATTACTAAGAAGAGTTTCTTTTTGGAGGGTAAAGTAGCAGGCCAGAGTGATCCGATAGCACACCCTGAGTAATGCTAAATCTGCTACTGTATTCAGAATCTAATATTGTTTAATTGTATGCAAAATCTTTTACTCTATTATGCGCTTCCCAGAAATACTCACATCAGCACTCTTTTCGAAGCTCTATTAATTCAGTGGGCAAACTCCGAGCACACCCCGGTTAAGTGCTATCTTTACAAAATTTTACCTGCGTACTCCTATAGGCCTGATTAGCCTGCCTACCATTTTCTTTTGTCGAAATTCCAACTTCCAACTTCCAAAGGTAGTGTGCTGGAAAGGGTTAAGGGAATATTTTTAAAAAGAATGTAATATAACAAATGTGGAAAACATTTTCCAAAACAAATTTAAAAGCGAAAGATAACCACAGCTCTAAAATGGGCCAAATAACTGATACATTTAGAAAAGCAGATTTGCAGCTTGGTCGTTCATGAAAATTAACAGAGACAGCCTTTCGTTATCACCTAAGAAAAAGCTGAAGAAACAAAGTTTTCTGAAAATATTTTGAAAAGTGAATTACCAGTTTTTGATTTAAAGAGAAAGTATTTACAAGGTAATTACAAAAGCAGTATACATTTTATATATAAAATTATTAGTAACACATAAATTTCAGCTCATAACAGTCAAAAACTAAACAAAATGGGTAAGGATAGAATAAATGTTAGCTAAATAGCTTCATAAACAAAGCGAAGAAATTTTTGCAGAAACTACAGTTTTAACACAACAGCAATAAATTTGAGATGTTTCCAGAAAATATACACATACATTAATTAGATGCTTTGAAATACAGTGGATGGACAAAAATATGGAAACACCTTGTGAAATGCATGTTTGAAAAGAAAGATTGATTTTAATGAAATATGTAGGTGGCGCTAGCGTTTTTGACTACTGACGCCACCTATACAACTTCGTAAATGTGCTAAACAGTTCAGTTGTTGTCGGAGTACTGTTATGTGAGGTTGTCATTGCATTATGTCAGAGTTAACAGACTTCGAACATGGGCAAATTGTTGGAGCACGTATGGTAGGTGCTTCTGTAAGCAAGGTAGCCGAGGTGTTTAGTGTTTCAAGAGGTATTGTATCGAAGATTTATTCCGCATATTTGAAAAGCGGAAAAACATCATCTGCTAAATCACAGCGCGGACGAAAGTGTGTCCTGAGTGATCGTGACAGACGATTATTAAGGGCAATTGTGACGAAAAATAAGACCACAGTTGCAAAAGTTACTGCTGAAATGAATGTTGTGTTACCGAACCCTGTGAGCACCAAAACAATTAGAAGGGAGCTTCATAAACAGGGAATTGCTGGCCGTGCTGCAACTGAGAAGCCACTCATCAGTGATGCTAATGCCCGTAACAGGAAAAGGTGGTGTTTAAGTCATAAAGCCTGGACTATAGAGCAGTGGAAGCGAGTAATATGGTCTGACGAGTTCTTCTTTCACATTGTTTACTTCTGGCCGTAAGCCGTAAGGAGCCGTGTTTAGTGTTTCAAGAGGGTACTGGGAACTGTATCGAAGATTTCATATGAAAAGCGGAAAAGCGTAAACATCATCTGCTAAATCACAGCGCGGACGAAGTGTGTCCTGAATGATCGTGACAAGACGATTATTAAGGGCAATTGTGACGAAAAAAATAAGACCACAGCTGCAAAAGTTACTGCTGAAATGAATGTTGTGTTACCGAACCCTGTGAGCACCAAAACAATTAGAAGGGAGCTTCATAAATAGGGAATTGCTGGCCGTGCTGCAACTGAGAAGCCACTCATCATGATGCTAATGCCCGTAACAGGAAAAGGTGGTTGTTTAAGTCATAAAGCCTGGACTATAGAGCAGTGGAAAGCGAGTAATATGGTCTGACGAGTCTTCTTTCACATAGTTTCCACTTCTGGCCAAGTTTACGTCTGGAGAACGCCATCTCAAGCCTTAATACAGACTGCTTGTTGCCAAGAGTGAAACATGGCGGGGGTTCTGTTATGGTTTGGGCAGCCATATCGTGGTTCTCTGCTAGCCCCATGATAACTGTGTCAGGGCACATGACTTCCAAGACTTATGTGAACATTTTGGTCGATCAAGTTCATCCCATGGTACAAACTTTGTTCTCCGATGGTGATGGTGTCTTCCAAGACGACAAAGCCCCTGTTCACACAGCTCTCATTGTCCAGGACTGGTTTTCTGAGCACGAGGATGAGTTGTCCCATCTCCCCTGGCCACCACAGTCACCAGACCTGAATATTATCGAACCTTTGTGGTCTACATTGGAACGGAAAGTGCATTCTCGTTATCCACCGCCAACATCGTTATCTGAACTTGCCACCGTTTTGCAGGAAGAATGGTATAATATTCCCTTGGCAAACATACAGGAACTGTATTTATCCATTCCCAGAAGACTGCAAGCTGTTTTGGATGCCAACGGGTTTCCTATACCATATTAAGCAAAGAAACATGTTTTTTTAAAGGTGTTTCCATATTTTTGTCCATCCCCTGTAAGTCATAATGAAATGGAATCACGTCTAGTGAAATTGTTAAAGGAACAAATTTTAAACGAAATGAAATTAATGATGAAAAACTGAGGACAGCTATCACTAGAATGGAAGACAGACCATCTGAACAAATCTACTCATAAATTCCCATTAATAAAAATTTTTAAATCATATTAATTTTTTGGAGCAGCAGATGGCCTAAAATTAATAAAATTAAACTTAATTTCTACCATTTCTTGGTTTTCACATACACACACAGATCACACACACAAATTATGGGGTGGGGGAACCTTTTAATAATAATAATAAAAAAGAGCATTATTTATTGCCAATGTAAACAAATTACCACATAAATTTCAATATACCTATTTTTTTGTTCTTTTTGTTATCTTTCAGTCCACTGTCATCAAGTTCGTCTTTAGGTGCACAATTTGACATTTTATGCTTGATGAATACTTCTAACTGGTGAAAAACTTCTCCACATTTTCCACACTCTAAGCTATCTGTAGCACAAATATATTTAAGGTTTTAATCCAAGTCAAGCATTTAAACTAAGAATAAATTACAAGTTGCATATGAAATCCATGAACATGTAACTAAAATCTCTAGCAATGCACTAAGAAATATAGTCTATAAATGATGATTACGATTTCATGACAAAACTAGACAACCTTTTAAACCAGAATGATGTAATCACAAACCAGCAAATCAATCTATTACAAAGATTTAAATAAAGTACTTTAATTTTTTTATGCAGAACATGTAACTTATTTGTTAATTTTCTCCCCTTTACTACTGCCATGGCTTTAAACACTTCTTAGAACTTAAAATTCTTGGCTGCACCTCCTATTTAGAACTGCTGAATGAAAAATTTACATATGCCACTGGCAATTGTTTTGATTAAGCTATATTGAAGGGTGCCTCTTGGATTATAGCGGAGTTGTTGTTTTATTTATCAGCAAGTTGTTGTTTCATTAAATGGTAACCTGAGTAGATGAATGTTATGGAACCCCTTTTATGACGCAACTGGTTGTGTGATTGTGGTGAATTTGACTGATGGAAGAATATTTGTAAGGGCCTGAATTACCTCACGTATCATGAAATGGTTGCTGCTGGTAAAATGGGTGTTTGGTGGTATAGAACGAGAGGTGTTTTTTTTCTGAAGTGGTTGAGCACAGAAGAAAGGAAACTTTGCTGGATGTAATTCAACGGAATTATAAGTGTCCTGTTTGTATGAAGGAAATGCATATGATCGAACATATAGATTGTTCAGATGGCTTTGAATGGGTTTGTTGCAAGAAAGAATCAAATGCTCATCATATACATCGTTCCATTAGAAAGGAAACATGGTTAGAGGAAAGGTTTTGAATGCTGTTAAGGAATTTTGTATGCTACGGACTAAAGACATAGAAATTTCTAAATACAGTAAGTGGATATTTCATTTGTGTAGTGCTTAGATGGTATAAGATGAATTTCCTTTTTTGTTACTTTTTTGTTTGATTTAAAATATAGTTTATTGAGATTACATGTTTTTTGTTTGGTTCTAGTATAGAATTGGGTGCTCCTTTGGGACTTTTTAAGTGAAAATAGATCCATGTGTGCATGGACAAAGGTAATGTGCAATGCCCAGTTTGTGCAATTCTCTGATTTTTTTTTAAGTGTTGATCTGTACAGAGTTTGTGCAATTCTCTGACTTGTTAGTTTGGCTTTGCATAGCGGCAATTTTTGGTGCGTAAATCGGCACTACACAAAGCCAAAATAACAAGTCAAAGTACTGCACAATCTTGGTGTCCAAGTACCGCCAATCAAAACCTGTAAATGTATTTTTACCGTTGTTTTTAGGTTAAATCTGATTGTAATTTGGATTTCTAATGAAAAATACACAAACTACTAAATGAACAATTACGATGGTAACAATAATTATAATAAAATAAAGGCTTTAACTGGTGGTAATATTTGGTAATAACGAAAGTTTTCCGCCAAAAAAGGTCTCAGTAAAATTAAGGGAGGGGAACCGAAAACAGTATCTTTAGTGGGAAGTAGAATTCACCACCTAAATCCATGATTTTTTTTGTGAACATTTTGGTAGTTTTTTAAAGCCTTCACAGAAAACTGGTGGCAGTGGAAGCAAACACATATCAACCTCATTTCAGATATCCTGCATAGAATGGAAGATAGCACCAGTAAGATGTAGCTGCAGGGGAGAAAAAAGTAGAAGTCTAAAAGAGTATGCCGGGGCTATATGGGGCAAAAGATCACAATCGAGTCCAGCCAGTGAATGCAAACACATGTGGCCTTGCATTATTATCTTGATAGAATATTACCTTTTTGCAGCGGAACTCAGTTCGACGTTTTTCCTTGATAGCATCTTTATCTTGTTGTATACCTTACTGTCGAAGGTTTGTCCAGGTACTCTTTTGTGGATAATATGACAGCAATCTCACCAGATACAAAGTATGATCTTTTTGTTAGTCAAACTGCACTTTGTGATGCTGCCAATGGGCTCAAAAGGCCCAGAACAAACACCTTTTTGGCTTGTGTTGTTGAGGCTTGTTGCCTTCGAAGAGAATTATTTGTATCAATCAAGAAATTCACATTTTATCTTATTCATACAATCGAGGAGATTTCTAGAATGCAATTTTGGCATCAATTTTTACTGAAAGGAAACTGCATTAATTCTGTCAGGATGAGCCACTAGACTGAAAAGTCATATTAATGCAAGTTCACCATAATAATGTCCCTACAATAGTAAGTAAAAAATTATGTGTTCATTTAATTCAAACTACAATATAATATAAAAATAAATTTAAACAAGAGATAATAGAAATTTTTAAAAATTAATATTAATGCTAATGTTATGTAAAACCTCTAAATTATTATTGAAAGAGGCATTTTTGAAGCAAGATACCATGTTAACATTAATTGGAAGACGATGATGATTGTAATGGTGCGGCAGAATGAAAATTCCTTTGGAGACTCAAATACAAGGAAAATACACAAAATCTAACAGATAAATGGCAGTGTGTATACGCAACCATATAAACAACGAGAACAAATGTGCTATGCAACTGTGTCAGAATCCAAATTTGTTTATATCCATTCAGTCATTATTTTTCAGATTATTAAATTTTATTATAAATTATCTTTAGAGCCTTATGAACTTGATCATGAGTGCAAAATGGCGTAAGCATGCTTCAGCTTTGCTGCACATTTATTACATATTTCAGGTCACTATTGTATTTAAGGACAGTAAAAAATTTTTTTATTCAAAATTAAAAGTTGAGCAAAATCAAATTTATCAGAATGCAACTAGAAATAAGTACTTTTCCGTTATGCACCTGTCACACTTTTGCGCGCTGTGAAAGAGAAGTCAACGCATATCACCATCAAGAAGCACGTGTGCATATGTGTAACTGAGAATAATTAAACACACATATTATAAAAGTACTGTTAAAATGTGTGCAGGTACATAATGGTTACATACCAAACAAAATTTTAAATTATAAATTGTGGAACTAATAGCACTTATGTCATTTTGTTTTTAAAAGTATACATTCCCTGCTAGTCTATAATAAATAACAACTTTTAGGATAATTGACTAGGAAAGGGGGCGGGACTTTTCATTCAATAGTAATACAGACATTTAAAAAAAAGCATAGCATAATTACAAGTTGTTTAACCTCAAGAATTCACTGAAATTGCAAAACTTAAGCACAGTATAAAAGGAGGGAAGATGGCCTCCAAAGAAGACTAATTTGTAATAATACAGGGTTCATAGCCACATTTTAGTTAAAAAAATAAGCATCTATAAGCACTTTTCCAGCAAATTTTAAGAAAAAAAAAAAATAATAAGCACCTGTCTAATTACATTATACACAACTGCATAACCTTAATTAGACTTGTAATTTAAAATATGATATGCGTCTTTATTAGAGAGAATAAGCATTACTCAACCATGAAAAATATTTTTTTTTTTTTTTTTTTTTTTTTTTTAAAATTTCAAAAACGTTCAATTTACAGAACGAGTTTAGAGCTAGGAAAAAAAAAAAAAAACTATGCAGAACTTATTAAGATTTAATGATGAAATTTCAGTCAAATAGAGAAATAAGAATAAAAGGATATTTGTCTGTCTCACTTGGAACCTCTAATAAATAAATGTATGTTTCCAACCATATTGATATGTAAATAATGTAAATCTAAATTCGGAATATCTAAATTTGCAGTATAGCGTTCCTAACAGATACTGCAACAAATATTTAAGTAAAAAAGAGGAACCTTCTGAATCAGAGACAGAATTGCTCAGCAGTTCCCAAATGCTTAACTAACAGCATAGTGGAATTGGCAAATTCGGACAGTCCCCCCCTGAGCGTACTTGAAAAGAGGCGGGGGGGTTAGACGTAGCCGCTCTGTAAATTTTTCCGCTAATAAAGCTTTTGACATTTCGATCGAGCTCATATAAAAAAAACCAATGGAATTGAAAAATTTGTTAGCAAGCAGAGTAAAACTCTTTAGTGTCATAAACAAATCTCGGACAAGACATCAAATTATATCTCTGAAAATATCACGTATTGCGAATACATGCCCAAAGCATATTTCACAAGGGACATCAGTGTAGCCACAGAGGGGTTTCGAAAATGACAATGAGCTGCTATTGTATTTGAGGCTAAATCTTCGTGCAAATGTCGTATGGTGTTTACGTTAATGTATTTGTTCGCAATATAATATATGGGTAATAGTAAAACTCTCGCAGTGCTTCGTCTTCTGAGTTGATAATCGGGACATTTCACTTCGAGATTTTATCACGCATTAATATAGGATTGATGTTCACAGCATATTATGGGATTACGAGAATTAAGTGTATATTTTTTTATTGAACTGAAATGACTGAAAGTGTTTGAATCTCTAGTGTTTCTTATTTCAGTGTTGTCTCTTTTGATTTTTAAGTGTACGATTCAGAATACATCTGATTTGATTATATCCATTGTTAACATTAAAAATTATATGTGAATAAATTGAATATACTCGTTGTAATACAATAAATTCACTCTGTTTGTGAGTATTTCGTGTAGGCGTATATTAAGACTGAGATTTATTAAATGTGAATTTACTGCACTAAGGTTACGAAAGTAAAGTAGTAAAGTTCACTTTAAAAAAATTCGCATGGGTATATTATAGAACATTTTATCATATAGACTGCAATAAAAGTGCTAACTTCTATCTATATATTGGTGTAAATATTTTCTATATGCATGTTTAGTAAAGATTGCATTTTTAGTTATTACATATTTTTCTATCTATTTACACTCATTAAGTAATATTTCCCAGCGGTGTTGTGGGACCCCAAAAAAATCCCTGAAACTTTTACGGAATTACTACCAACATTTTGGGTTCGAGAAGGGGGAAGAGAAATGAAAATTACAATTATGAAATATTGAAACCAATATAAAAGTCATGATTACTTTTTTTTTGCAAAAAATAACCAAAAATTTCAAAATATAACTATACCTTTGTACATATTGTTTAATACTGAATAATTCTTTAAAAAAATATCTAATTTCTGCTGCTTTTAATTTTCTGATGTTTGGCTTGTCTTTCTTTGTGGGAACTTATAATTGCAGGAAGGTGACTTTTATTTCCTCATTACAGTTGAAGAAATTCCCGGAACTGCACATGCAGATGTAGAAGCAGTTTGCTTTTGCTAATAGTAGAAGTTTTCAGAGACTTTTTATACGTGACTCATCTGAAATACAGTAAGTCTTCTTGATGTGTTTCCAACTTCTGTTCATATTCAGTAAGAGATCTTTGTGAATTGGATCAGTCACGATTTTTGACCATATTTTTCACATGAGGTTTCTTTAGAAGCCATTAAATCTATTTAATAGTCTGCACGCATCTAGGGATCAATCTCAAGAGAGGTTCTATAGTCAGTGACAAGTGTCCATTAAGTTGAAGGCACTTTCCACCTGGGCCATGAGCAGCTAAGGCCAGGCTGACCATTTAGCCAATGTAGGAACTTATAATCATTTGTGAAATCCTCTTAAAATTAAAAACTTTAGACCAATATTATCATTGTACCTTGACTTGATTCCACTTTATCAGATGTGTAGAGCTTTCTTTGGTGATATCAATATCACTCTGTATAACCTTATTCAGCTTCTACTTTGACTTTCATTATCACTAAAAATGGGACATAAAAGATGATAATTTTTCAAAAGTAATATTGTACTGGTTTTACCTCTTGCTCTGGATCTATGCTGGTAAAACTAATTAGATAGAATTTTTAAGGGGTAATTTCTGTTTCATATGCTGTGCTGTATTAGTAATTTCATCAGAGACTTTGGAATTTTTTGCTATTGGATGATTTTTTTTGATAATTTCTTCAGAGAGTGGAAGCTTCTGCACCAGAAAATTACTTTGCTAGGTAGATGGAATTCTGGATTTGTGACATCAACCTTTAATAATCATTATAAGATGTGCATCTATATTTTCGGCTTCATAAAAAAAAAAAGAGAAATTTTTGCCATCAATTTATAAATACTGGAATGTATTAATGAAGCATTGGTTTTTTTTTTTTTTTTTTTTTTTTTGTTCAAATAATTTAATATATTGTGGAACTCTGGTAATACTGCTGATATAATGCCATTCAATAAAGTTTTCTTGCATAACAAATAACCCATTTAGTAGTTGTGGAAATGCAAGCAGAATACACCCCTTCAACAATTTTTTTCTGAGCTGCAGAAATATTTCTTTTTTGTATACAGTTTCAACATAGAAAATAATCCCCTTATCAGTTTTATCCCAGTAGTGAAAAATAAAATGCAATAAGAACATCCACAGATCTGATTCTTTCTAAAATACATAAAATGTACACCCACTATGGTCTGGTTCTTCAAGGGCTTAAGTTTTTTAATGGCAAGGGATTCACAGATTTGAAAAATTTCTCTTTACGCAGCTTTTCATTCAAAATAGATGTCATCAACAAATCTTCTGAGTTTATCAAAACATGAAGGATTTTTTTTTTTTTTTTTTTTTTTTTTGCACAGTTTTAGCTGTGTGACATGTTCACCATCAATATCTAATAAGTGGGGTGCTTTGTTTCATGGTGTCTGGTTTCAACATCCTTTTTTTTTTCCACGCATGGTGTTACATGAGCCATTACACTAATTAAGTTTGCCCATGAATATTATTATCTTCAATAGTATTAACAACGCTTTAAAAAACAGCTTCTGAATTGCAAGATTCCATCTTTAGAGATGCAAAAGATGACTACAACTTCATTTTGATTGTTGTTATAAAACTGCCAAATGCCAGTATACTTTTGAGCATGCTAGTACTTTCATCCAAATTTAGAGAAAATGGAGAAAGTTTTAAGATATTTTTCCTTAATAGTTTTTGCGAGCCCATATTTTCTTATAACATGCAGTAGTCCTGGACATTTCCAACGAGTTTAGTGCCGTCTGATCGCGGCTCCCTGTTAGCAGAGTTTAATTAAATTGGGAGCTACATTTGAAGTATTTGGGGAGGAAAAGAATGCGTAATGTACTGGAATTTCTACTGCTTTCGCATTCTTTTGCCAATAGAACGATGGGCCCTGTCTGTACTATTGTGCACCCGAGGTTATGTTAATGCAGAGAAAGGGGAAAACTATTTCCGGGAGTATGATTCACCATCTGACATTCCATATTGAAAGAGTTGTTTATTTAGTTTCGGCTTTGGTACAGGAAAATAGCGTTCAAAAAAAAAAAAAAAAAAAAAAAAACCCCCTAAAACAAAAAATAAGGGCTTTACGAAAAAGTAAGCACCTATAAGGGCCTTATATTTTATTTTCAAATATAAGCACTTATAAGGACCTCTACGAACCCTGTAATAAGCATTTACTCAAAGAACTTGATCTGCAATGAAATATAACAATTAATTCTATTTCATGTTATGTTTTACTAATATAGAGATATTAATAATAATTTCAATAACATTTTAACTTTCAGCAATAAAAGTTTGCTACATAAATATTAACACAAACAACTTGACAGATGTCAGCAATATGTGAGAATATACCACTGACAGCCATGTGTATAAAATTCTTCAAACTTTAACGAGCATTTTGGTTCAAACTGTCACAGTATAACACTAACAACTATTAACATACCAATTCATTAAACTTTTATGTGCCCATACTGTCAGAATATACTATTTACAGCTACATGAATAATAATTCTTCAAGCTTTAACAAGCAGTTTTGCCATTTTTTTTTTTTTTACACATTTCTTTTTGTTTGTTCATTTGTTCCAAATTCCAACAAATTTTATACACAAATAGTCCTAGTTTTTTTTTTTTTTTTTTTTCTTTTTAATTATAAAATATGAACTTGTGGATCTGCCAGCAATGGAAGAAATTCCGGAAAAACGTATGCAAGAATATGGTATTCAGCTGCAAAGTTACTAGATGGAACAATTCCTTGAATATATTCTGAAGATGAAGATGATTGTAATGAAACAAAATAAATAAAATCTATTCATAAATAGATTTACTGTTTGATCATTGGAGATAAATTAATAAATAAAGTGTCAAACATGTGTATGGAAAAGATAGTTTTAAGTTATATTTCCTTCTTTTATTAAAAAAATACCCAAAATGAATTAAGTCAACTGCACAAATATGTAAATAAAAAATTTCAATTACTAAAATTATTTTTAATATGGATTAACAAGTTTAATTTCTAAATTTAAAGCAGCAAACATTTTAACAGAATTTGATAAAAGTTTTATAATTATTATTTAAATTGAAAATGAATGCACACACACACAAACACACAGAACAGATAAAATTTTGGTACATTAAAATAAAAAACTATTAGTGATTTGCTTTCTAAGTATGGCATAAAATTATGAGAGTGTTAAAAGACTATGTAGGAAATACCACCTTTCCCTCTTTAAATAAACAACAACAACCCAAAAAATTGCATGTAATAATACATTATAGTACATAATAAACATACCTATAATCTTCGCCATGTTGAAAAAATAGATGAACTTCACAACTGCACTTAGAAACAATACAAACCTATTTAATACATACATAAAGCTTAGAATTAAACAACAGGGACAAATTTTTTTTAATGTTGTTTAGAAAGTTATATTACCTTAAGAAAATTTAAATAACATGATACTTACGCAACAATTAAAGCAGGTTATTGTCTACCATCATAAGGAAGAAGTGTGCATTTTCTGAATTGTGTGCTGAATAACAAAAATTCTCTGCATAACCTTAAATAAATAGCCATTAATTGTATTTTTTTAATAATAATAAAAAATCTACAGTGATCATACACTATTATTCATATCAATCACAGATAATTACAAAGATAAGATAGTATAACATAATTAAATTTCAAATTTCATTCACCAGGATACTCTAAAACACTTTCTTTTCTTAAACAACTTAAACTTTTTCCATTCATGATCCCTTTTTATCATCCAAGTTTAAATATAATTCATTTACATAATTTTTGATTATTTTCTTGATCACAGATATTAAATACAAAATAAAGAAACAAAAATTTATTTTCCCATCAGTAATTTATCTCTTTGATAAGCAATATATACATAAAAAGATGTAATTCTACGTTTTTCTCAGGTACACAAAAATTAATGAAAGAAAAACACATTTTAATGAGACAACTCCAGTTCAATGCATAAAAAATTAAATCTTGTTGCAATCTTTGACAGCAGCAGGGCAAAAAGCATCTTCAGTGTTTTCAATACTGAGCAAAATTTGAACTTAATAAGCATTAAAAATGAAAATGTCATTTCACATAAGTATGTGACGCTTGAATAGAAGAACCTTTCATGCTATTTAAAAAATTACAGGAAATGCCACTTCCTTACTACAGCAACCCACAAAATTGAATCGATAATTAACTGCGATGTAACATGCAGCAAGGTAAAAGAACATGTGGCAAAATGTATGTGAGATATCTCAGTCAATTAGCGATTCAATCTTGGGGTCACTATAATAAAGATATACCTGGGAAATTTAGTTCTAACTCCGATTTACAATTCAGTCAAGAAAACTGGATATTATGGTCCAATTTGGCGCATTTTCAAAAACTTGCCAAGTTGGTTGCTTTCGCACATTTTAGAAAATTGCTAACTCATCATATTGCCATATTAGATGTTTGCAAATTTGAATTAATTCTATAAATATGCAAAAGAAATAGATCATTTAAACATGCAAAAATATCTAAACAACCTGTAAACATGCAAAAATACCTAAAACAGGACTTCAAGTAAAACAACAAAAAAGGGAGAAGTGCAAAATCACCCACTGTTTGGCGCGTTTTTAAGAATTGCACATATACTTGGTATCCATGTGCACATTGACCTATTTTCTCTTTAAAAAAAATCCCAGAATTGCACAAAAATAGTAATGTGCACTCCCCATATACACATCGACTTATTTTCACTTAAAAAGTCAAAGAAAATTAACAAAAATCCAATTGTTCTTACTCTTGTAAAAAGCGCCCAACAAAAAAGCGGGCAATTCTGCACTTTAATTACAGTATTTGAACTACATATTTTACAGGATCAACAATATTTAAAGTTTTCATAATATCATATACCATTTTTAAGACAGTAGCAAAATGGAGTAAATCGTTTTATCATGAAATTTAAGAAATTGTGATAAGCAGTAAATGAGCAATAAATGATCGGAAAGCATCGATTCGTATTTAAGCCAAGAGGTTATCAGATTTGGCGCAATTTTGCTTCACTTGCTGACTGGACTATAATCTTCTAATAAAATTAGTAAAAAACAGGGGAAATATGCGAGTAAAGATAGCAACTATGTTTTATGCCTAACTAAATTATTTAACATTAAAGAAAATAACTTTATACAGTAATTAATTTATATAAGGTTAATCTGACTTTTTTGCCCTCATTTTTCAAATTTCATGTATATTATTGTTGGCAAATAATAAAACTTACACATATAATAAAAATTCTGAGACAGCTTACATTTTAATCCAGTGGTTACTTGCACAAATTTCTTATCTTGAAAGACAAATTTTCAAACTGCCAGATGGATTACCTAAATTGATTAAAACAGAATTAATATATCAGCATTTAAATCACATTTTAATACAAATATATGAGATACTACGTGAAAACAGAGGATAAGTACTTAATGCCTTATTTTTAATATTTAACAGTATCATAATGACTGATGACTATTAAACTTCTTTGATAAACTGCAGTAATTTTTCTTGACAAAAAATGCTCCTTATTTTATAGCATGACAAGGAACATGTCACTTTTTAACACATTATTTACAATGATGCCCATTGTACTCGATTATTATCTATATTTGGTACAGCTTGTGTATAGGACCCCATTGGCGACTTTTGGCTTTGCGCACTTTTTGGACGGTTATTTTTCTGGTAACCCAGCAAATTCTAGAATATTCCACTTCAGCAATTCTGTCACATTCCCGCGTGTTTTAAACTGGAAAGTGACATTTTCTTTGAAGGAGCAAAATATTGTTGCATTGAACAAATTTCTCGAAATTGTAAGGGACATAAACTGGGCAGAGTATAGGATTTCTTTGTAATTTATCATGATTTGTAAACTTTACTTTCCACATTTCTTTATTTTATTTAAACAGTTTTCGAACTCCTGGTTTCAGTTTATAATTGCTTCAGTTATCACTTGCACTTTCAATATTGCTGCTTACAATATGCCTCCAGACTTGTGTATTTTCAAACTTTTCTTTACTTAATTTAAAATGCATCTAACTCCTATTTTTAATTTAAACATGTATTTTGAGCTCCTATTTTCAATTTTACCGCTTGTAATTTGTATTTCAATGACGCTAAAAAATATGCGTGATTTCTTTATTTTCAGGTTCACTGTTTAAAATATATATTCTAATTTGTATTTAAAATTTTTCTTGTTAAATGTATTCTAAAGTTTATATTCTACTTAAAATGTGCCCTAACTTATGTACCTTCAATTTGCTTTTTAAACTATATTCTAAAATTTTGGGTCGGCCACAGCTCAAAAAAAATCGCCAATGGGGTCCTATACTCAAGCTGTTCCCTATATTTATTCCATATGCTGTATAAATACCGAACTGAATACTAATTTTTTCCTTTTTATAAAAGGCTAATCTTTGGAAAATCTAACAGGTAGTTTTGGCGACATTTTGGTAAGTCGATAAAGGTTACTACTAGCTAGGTCTTTAGCAGTGTACATGGATAAAGTCAAGAGTGTGCGCAATGACATTTTTGTGCAATTCTGGGATGTTATTTTAAGTGAAAATTGGTCGACATGCACATGGATACCGTGTATGTGCAATTCTTAAAAACACGGCAAGCAGTTTGCACTTCTGCACTTTCTCCCAATTTCGCACCTAATCTTCGTCATGATTAAGCACTTCTGTTCCATAAGCGTAATTCGGCTCTAGCAGATTGTTGGAAAAAAATGTTGAGATGAAAAAAAAAAAAAAAAATGCCTTTACTTTGTGAAAACAAAATGGCATCCAAATAAAAACTAGCAGGTTGCTGCAGCAGGGTTGGTCGCCAAAAAATCGCCAAGTTACCATAATCCAAAGATTAACCCTATAAAGAATTATATATATTGGCTCACAGTCACATAGGAAAATCTATTAAATTAATCAGCCAATTTCTTTGTATTTAAATCCACACTGAATTGCAAGCAGCTTTAGCTACTCGGCCACTGGTGGCCGTTAATAACAGAAGTTTGGTATGTTTTCTATCCCACTTCGTCGATCATTACTTATATAATTTTACATCACAAAATAAAAATTATGGAATTTATGACTATCCATATATCCCACGAAAAGTTGCCAACTCATATTAACTTTGTGATTTGGCAAAAAAACATTTGTTTGACTATCACTGCTACTTATAGATATTGTTCTGTTCATAAATAATAATAAAATGCATTTTTGAAGAAACTAAGAAATTTTAGAAAAATACAAAATTCTGTGGCCCATACTTGCATTTTTACAGGCACTGAATACTGTTCAGCAAATTGACCCACACAAGTTTGTATATGTGTATACTAGAAAATATGTCATTTCACCACATGTTGAAATGGGGGAGGTAAAGATGGCAACTTAAAAAAAATTTACAGTTTAATGACTGCAATTTAATAAGCAGATAATGTGAAATGAATGAAATTTAAGAACACAAAGTTGACTTACAGTACACTCCATTCATAACAGTTTACTTTCTGCTCAGCAAGCACTGATTCATAAACTTTTTTTTCTCTACATCCTTATCACAATATGTCATCCTCTCAACAAAAAATTTGAATATGACAAATTACGATTGGAGTTTTTAATAAAATGATTAAACACCAAACAGCCTCTGATTAAACGACAAAATAGCATGTTCCCACTAAAGCAGGATACACAGTGAGCACAAAAATGGGTTAAAAAACCTTAATATTACAACATTCAATTAGTACAATCAATAGAAAGTAAACTATAATAGACGTCTTCCAGGTTCGAATCATAAATAAGGCATGGAAATTTCTTAGTGTATAACATTTTTAAAGCAGGATATCACTGTCTCCCCTTGCAAAAATTTTAGAAAAGAATGAAGGGTGGGAGACTCTTGAATTCATAATGTTATCTATAAGGTGCCAAGGCCTAAGGCAACCTCAATCATAATACTTGCACTTTTCGCTGCAAAAAAATTCGTGGACTTGATCTGGTTACTGTTAGACATGTAGACAAGTTCTAACTTCAATGACACAAACAATTCAACAAATCAGCATACTAGCTATATTATCATTAGTCAGCAGATCTTTAGTGAATTTATTACCACATTTTCGGTGACTCCTCGTTACAGCAGCCATATGATTGAGCTTTGTTGATATTTGAAATCTGCGTATCACAGTTTCAGTGACAAAACATGGTGGCTGCTCATAAAAAGTACTGCACATTTTAATACGTAACTTTATTGAATAAATGAGCACATTATATAAAAAAATTTTAATTAAAAAAATCCAAGAAAATGAAGGTTATTTTTAAATATGGCATCCACATTTATTACATAATATGCCCGATAATGAAGCCAACATATAAGAATATTTTTCACAAGAAATGCATTCCTCGTCACATTTTACACAAATTTCGTATTTTTTGTTAAAAATTTGAAATACATGAGGCTTAGCTGTTAAACAATATTCAACTATACACAAAATTTCAGGCATGTACTTTACATAACGCTAAAAACTTACAAACTAATACAGATCAAGGAAGTAAAACGGCACACGACCAATGTTTACGAGTTGATGCCGGCTTCTTCAAAAAATATTTGCTCCCCTTCTTTTAATGAATATACATGAGGTACGGAAAGAAAATTTGGAAGCTATAAATTATTTCAAACTACAATCTGATTTCTTTCAGCGATGTTCATTCGCTTAAATACAACTTCATATACGATAAATTAATATAAATAAAAGACAAGTTAAAAGTTGACAACATAAGTGACAATCAGGCATACACGCTAGAAATTTCACTCAACAGAATATATTACATAGACTAAAGTAACATGTTAACAAGTTTAAAGATACATGTGCACAAAATAGAAATCAAATAACTACACATAACTATGTACAAATGTAAACCACCTTTAGGCTTAAACAAAGCATCATGGGTAGTACCATATACCATAACTTCAGAAGGAATCGGAGGCTTTTCTGTGCCACACTAACAAATTAAAAACTGAATCTGTTGATAAAACTGATGCCCTATAAACCGATGTAGAGTTAGCGTAAATTATTGTTTAAATTTCACCAAAATGTCGACGACATTAAGTTCAACTTTCCAGTAGTAACGCAAATCCCGCTTTTACATCGATTAAAATCCATTCCTCATCGTAAATTATCGATATTATTCAAAATCAGGAACTTTTAGAAAGACCTGTTGCCAAATTACAAAATTAAAAGATGAAAGAGTAACTCTGAACTTTTTCAAAAAATGGAATTCTAATCTTGGCCTCACCTACAAAAAAGAAAAAAAAAAAAAAAAAAATTACCGTCATATTTTATAAAGCTTTGCATAAAAACTTAAGCAAGGCTTAACTTATTATTTCTAGTTTCACAAGCATTTTTATATGTAAAAATGGCCGATACTATTTGCAGCGGTACAAACCGCTGGTGCGAATACCATCATTATATAACTGAGCGACCGAGCTCGGTCCTATATACCTAGGTCTAGAGGAGCCTTATGCCTGGGCCGAAGGCCCTACCCCTGATCGAAGAAGAAGTTGTGCTTTTCTTATTCATGTTAAAAGTAAACAGATAAAAAGATACAGAATCATGATCCAAAAGGTATAGAATCGGGATAATTTGTATTAAACTGGGTAAGTATTAACAAAATGAGCTCCGTCCAAGTTCTGTAGACAGTTACAAGCTAATGACAGAAAATGCTGCAAAGGAAATACATAAACATATACATAGATACTGTAAGTACGAGTCTGTTGGTGAGAGGATATAAATTCAAGAATATTGGAAATGTATTTAAATATATACAAGTAACACTCTGATATGAGCAAGCAATAATTTACAATGTACAATAGAAAATATTTAAATAAGTGGTGAGATACATATAAATATTGGCAAAGGCACACGGACACTCGGGCAGTGCTGTATGTTCCCACTGGATGTCCCACTAGTAGTGCAAAAACGTGTTTCCCAAATTTTGCGCCATAGCATTCAATCAACTGCAAAAGCGTCTCTGCGCAAATAGTCGGACGTTTATCATCTTCACTAAGGTCGGATCAAGGTTTCTAAAATATCCTAATTTTAGAAGTATTTTACTGATCTTGGGTCGGATAGTGGACACTGCCTCAGTCGTATATTCTGAGAATGTGGGAGATGTATATGTAAATGTCTGTAAGGATCCAAGGTCCGTAGAAAGAACAGGTTAGCTCACTTTGGGTAAACAAACGAAAATGCGTTCTCGCTGTCTATTGGCTGTGACGTCACTGAAGTTTTCTCTCCTTAGATCAACATAGATTTTTGCATTGATTTAAGCTGAATGTAAACTTTTGCGCGACTGTGGAAACTCGTTCGTTTTTTTTTTTTTTTTTTTCTCAAATATAACTAAATTTATGTAGTATAATGGTTGGTAAGCACTGCGCGATTGCATTATGCACCAATAATGCAGGCAAAATAAAAAATAATCAGCAAAATGTATTATTTCATAGGTATAGAAACTTAGTAGTGTTTTTGATTTGATGCAAGTTATTTTGAATTTTCGGGTTACTTAAATTAATTTATTCATTAATATATATAGAAACTTCTATGCATTTTATTAGGTGTATTTAAATGCCAACGGTTTTGAATATTGTTGTGAATTGTGACAGATGCATATAAATATGCTTAAATAGTTTTAAATTATGTGTATGTAGCTCACTGCATTAACTAACTCGTGTTACACATGGAAAAATGGCCATGCAACCAGCCTTTTCTCCAGGAATTGAAGTCAAACCACCAGTGTTCAGCTGATGGGCCTTGTCAATTACTTAGAATTTGAGCCTATTGTACTGTTGTTAATATGGTACATGCCAGAAATACAATATCATTAATACACGGGATACATGTAAGCAATAATAAGAAGGACTAACAACACCGCAGAGTACAGAAAGCAACATATTAGAAGTCCACAATTCATTTGGCGAGCAAATTAAGTTGTATTTATATACTTAAGGCTATCAGTTCTGGATAATTTAGTTACAGTAATTTTGCAAAGATAGTAAAGCAGTTCCTTCAGCAATATTAATTTTCTAATTATTAAGGCTTTTTTCTTTCATATTATTTGAAAACAGAGTAATACAGAGCATGCATTTAAATGCAATCAAAATTTAGGAAATGTATGATTTAAGAATATAGAAACGTTTAAAAAACAAATATGCTAAAATTCTTGTAAAATATAAAAATTTCATTTTCTATCTGTACTTATAATTTGTTATGATTTGTATTATGAATGAATAATATAACTTAAGCAAATATTTTATTTATTATAGTTTTAAAATTTGCATTCCATTACTATACAGTGCACCATGATATATTTCATACAAAATTTCATTTATAAAATTAAGATCCATATTTACTAAGATTTTGTTGAAGAATGTAGTGTTTTTAAAATTTAGTACCAATTTTGACTTTTGCATTTAATTATATAAATTTACCTGCAGAATTATATTTTGCTAGTATCTACGAATGTAATCATTATGTCTGTGGGGATATTGTACACAGGTCATCATATTAAATAAACATCCACCCTTTTTCCATGTGTTCACAGAAGATAGACAGTCAAGACGTTTGATAACTGCATATTTTTAGATGCATTATCGTGTATGTTATTGTAAAGGATCTTAAGTTTTACTAACGTTTATTTATTTTAAATCTTACTTCACTTTTATTTCTACTTCCGGGCCAGAATTATAAGCGTGAGGTTTATGCAAGTGTCTGGCGAACGCCAAGTATTTAAGTGTGGCCTTTGCCAAGCAGAGAAGAAGCAGGAGTCGAAGCGGCCGCTTACTTAGAAGTAAGCGTTGTTGTTGCTTCAGGCCAGAGGTTTAATCCTATTAAATTAAAGTATGTAGTGTACAGTCTCTGGCTACATAAGCTTTATGGTATTATAAGGCCAAATATTATCTAACGTAAATTAGAGTAGTTGTATTTTTACTTTTGACCCGAGTGCGGGTCATGTATTCCAATCGGAAGTCATTGTATAGAGAAAAATAAAGGGTTTGTAACACTTCTGGGTTCGTTACTTACTACATTAGTGACATAGCTTTAGTAAGCTCTCTGTTCCGAGTCAGGTCCGTATGTTTCCGAAGAAGGTTAGAAGAACATGACCCGATAGTGGCGCCCCACGAAGAATAACCATGGCCGAGTTTCAAGAAGAACTGTGTGCCTGCAGAAACGGCTCAGAATCCAGAAATGCCAGCGCAGCCCTGGAAGGATTGGTTACATCGTCCAGACAGCGCGCTCGATGAAACCAGAAGCAAATTTAATGGAAACTCAAGGTAACCAGTTTTTTGGAAAAATTGGATGACCACTTCATCTCTACCCCGTGCACGCGTTTCAAAAAAGTTACCTTAGCTACCAGCGCTTGAGGGCAAGCGCTTAACTGGTTCAAATGTATAGGCAGAGAAGTCTCTTGGGTCAAGCAGAAGTCCCACCTATACTTACGAAAAATTTCAAGACTGCCCTACTAAAAGCCTCCCGTTGTAAGGGATCGTGCGAATTAGAAACGGAACTTTTCAGTATATCAACCAAAAATCGAAAACCTCTCCAGCTTATTTTAAAAAAAATTCACGGTTAAAATCTTGTATGGAACGTCGGATCCTGAAATATTTCAAGTGATTTTGCCGAGGTTTATACCCCAAGTGCAAGACTTTATGAATTAAGAAATCCGACTACACTGGAAAAGTTATTTGGCTAGCAATCCAGTTTGAAAGTAGAAAAGAACGGCGGAGTCGAAAGAAGACGCCAATATCAAAGCGAAACCAATTTGGTACGGCCAAGACACAGCAAACTCAAGCACACGGGCTACGGAGAAAGCGAATCAGTGGGCAAGGAACCCGAGCATTCAAAACAGCCGGCGAACGTCGAAGTTAATAGCAACCCAGGAAAAAAGTCTCAAGGCCAGGGGAAAGAAGGAAAGCACGGAAAGGAAAAATAATTTAAACGAAAACGGATTTCTGCTGACGGGAGGGTGCGGAATCCGAAGGCCAAGAAACCCTCTTCACAAGTTAAATACAGTAATGGTGAAAAATTTGACGCTTCCGAAATGAAGTCTTGGTGATATATCCGCCACCGCCTCCTGGATACCGGCGCAGTGTTCCTGTGGCAGAGATTTTTTTAGGAATATTTTCGCAAATACCGCATATATAATGCGGATAATACGCAGTGTTAGCGGCGCAAGGAGAACATGGTGTTAGGTAAAGTACCTTTGTCGTATCAGGACGAACAGTAAGGTGATGTTTTTATAGTAAAGAATTGCAAGCACGCAATTTACTTAGGAATGATTTTCTTTCAGACGCACAAGCAACACTGGATTTAATGAAGCGCCTTAAGCTGACGATGAAACCAGTGCGGAGAAAGGAACCGCCGATGTTAATTGACCACCTGCCTAATGACGAGCAAATAGAATCGACAAGTGGTAAGTGTGCTTCGTTATTAGTGATATCCAGGATTTACCATTACTACCATAGTATTACACCGAGATGCAATGCAGTTCGTCAAAAACCATACGGTATGATAAGAATAAGGAAAAATATAGAATGGCATATTACCGATATGCTACCTAAAAAGATATAACGCCCATCTCAAGTATTATGCTAGCCGGTGGTTATGTAAGAAAAATATGACTATCCTTTAGCATCCAAAGGTGGAGATTCGCTATTGATTACCGTAAATTAAATCCATACGAAAATCCGGTATATCCGTTACGATCATTGAAGAAATTTAAGGAACATAAAATCAAACCAAATTTTATGCGACTTTAGACTTACGATGGTTATTTCAAATAGGGTGGCTGAGGACGTGCCTAAACTGCTTTTAACAAGTCTGGCACTTATGCATTTTTGCGGATGCCGTTTGGCCTTTCAGGGGCCCCGGCAACATTTCACGATGATGGACATTGTGTAAAGACCTGTTCTTGAAAGTCCACATTTATCTATTTAGACGATTTATACTAGTGATAATCTCGCCACATACAGGATTTAGACAGTGTTTTCTTTATTAAATGAGGCCGGTCTAAAAGTTAATGTCGAAAGGCAAATTTGCAGCCCTGAATTAAAATATAGGTTACAAAATATCTCAAAAGGGATCGAGACGATGAATCAAAAATAAT